CTGGTTTGACCTTCAAGTATTGGTATGAGACTTCTATTTGCCCTATGTGTAACCAACTACAAGAATGTGGGGGATGTAATCTGTAGAGTCTACTTGTACAGCTCCGTATCTTCCTTTGACATTTTAAATCATTGCAACATAGCTTTGATAAGACAATATATACCCTGATGTTCTTTTGATGAATGCTTATCCTATAACTGTTTGTACTCTCATTCGTGATTCTTTCTCTGTGATGAAGCCATTAGGATGTAACTGATAAAAAATAGAATAAAAGGTGGCCTCTGGCAGTCACTCTTCGCCTCAAGCCAGATCGATGCCTTGGCCCTCCATGCTCTCTACATTCCTCTTGTGTGTCTTGTCTCTGTGCTTCTGACCGAAAGAATACTCATGCAACAGTCTCCAGATATTTGGCTAAGTCAGGGTGTTCTGACTGCTAGATTTTACTTATGTACATCTGTTTTGCTCAAGATAGGATGGGAATGTAACTGCCACGTGAAAGGACAAGATGTATTGTTTTGTAACCTAAAAAAGAGTACATAATGCCTGCTACACAGATGCTTGAGGTTCCAAGTTTCTTAGGCTTGGGAACCCTCAACGCTGAGTCCCTTGCATGAGTGTGTTTTGATGTGTGAATAAAACCTTAAAAACTCTGTCTTGTCTCTGTGAGTCTCAGTTGGCGGCTGAGCACAGGCTTGTGGACACTTAATAAAATAAACAGCCTACCTTCTCACCTGTGAACCTGTTCAGAGATTTCTGAAAGCACCAAAGCAAACAGTAAAGTTAAGCTGATCAAATTTGGATCAAGAAGCAGTAGAAGGGCACCTGGAGTGCTGGTATAGTGGGAAGGGCGTTTGCCTGACCCGGGTTCAATCCATGGCATCCCATATGGTTCCCTGAGCACTTCTAGAATTTCTGAATGCAGAGCCTGAGCACTGCTGGGTGTGACCCTCCCCCCCAAAAAGGGAAAAAATCAACAGGTGAAGGGCCGTAGAGAGAGCACAACATGGTGGGTAGGGCAGCTTCCTTGCATGCAACCAACCTGGGTTCAATCCTCAGCACCACATCTGATCCTTGGAACCCAGACAGGAGTGACCCCTGAATGCAGAGCTAGGAGTATCTGAGAGTTTCAAATTCTGGTGAGGATGTGGGAAAAGGGACCCTCAAGCACACGGGGTGGGAAGTTGTCTGATCCAGAAACGCCGTTTTTGAGCATGTTCTGAGGATGCGAAGTCAGGTTCTCTCTGGGACAGCCTGGTCGGTTAAAGATGTTGAGGTCATCTCAACATCTGTGACACAGCGACACTGCAAGGACACTATGCCAGGTGCAGTCAGGCAGAGAAAGCCAGAGGCTCACGGATACTTCTTCTTTTTTCTTTTTCTTTTTTCTTTTTTTTTGGGTCACTCGGCGATGCACAAGAGTTACTCCTGGCTCATTCACTCAGGAATTACTCCTGGTGGTGCTCAGGGAACCATATGGGATGCTGGGAATCAAACCCGGGTTGGCTGCGTGCAAGGCAAACTCCCTACCCGCTGTGCTGTTGCTCCAGCCCCAGTTCACTGACTCTTGGAGTCTAGAAATGCTGAATTCAGTAAACCAGAAAGCACTGTGGTCTCTGGGGACCGGGCCTGCAGAGAGACGGAGTCACGGATGTGACATTGATCTTGGGATGTGACACATGCTTGGGGGCTTTGGCTAAGCACACAGTGTGAGGTGCATGCAAAGGGGATAAGCCTGGCTCAGTCCCATTCCCAGAGGCATCAGTTCAGGCTCAGTGGGAACTAGGTGTCAGTATGCGACTGTGTCAAGCCTCATTCGGTATTAGTTTAATGCAACATATTGGAAAATACCAAAGATGATCTGAAGGAGGGAGGGTTGTTGGGTGCAGCTCAGACCCTCAATGGAGACATGAAGCGACAGGAGGGGTCTTGGTGAGCATAAGCTTTTGTGACTTTGCTTTTAGGGCCACACCCAGCAGTGCTCAGATCACTCCCGGGGGCTCAGGGGATCACGTGGGATGCAGGGGATTGAACTTGGGTTGGCCACATGCAAGGTAAATGCCTACCCACTATCCTATCTCTCCGGCCCAGTGACATCTTGACTGTATGGGATGAAAGGGGTAGGACAGGAACCCACTGGCATAGGGTCAGAGTGATAGTTCAGTGGTGCATGTCTTGCATTCAGCTAACCTGGGTTCAATCCCTGACACCCTATATAGACCCACGAGCCCCTTCAGGAGCGATCCCGGAACACAGCCAGGAGTAAGTCTTGAACCCTACTTGGTGTTGCTCCCAAACAAACAAACAAACAAACAAACAAAGCAGGAACCCAAGGGCTTAAGTGTGAGTCACTAGAAGGATAAAAATGCCCCTGACTGGGCGAGAACCTAGGGAATGAGGATGAAGAAGAATTTTTGGTTTCTTTGGGCACGACGAAGGAAAGTGGGGCTGGGATCTGAGGTGTCGCCAGGACATCCAGGTGGAAATACTGGGATTAGGTAATGGAAACAGAGTTGACACCATAATAATCAAAAGGACCGAAGACAAGACAGTTGCAGAGAAATAGCGGGAATGGAGACTCTGGACCCGTTATCAGGAGACGGGTGCCCTCTGGTGATCATATCTAAAAACTGCAAACGATGAAGTTTCCTGGATGCCGAAGGCCGCCTTGGTCCCCTCAGCCAGGAAGGAAATCCCACCTGAACCTGTCACGTGCATTTGATCCTGAGCATAAGGAGCGGGAACCCAGGGTCTAGAGCAGAGGCTCCCGAATCCACTCATCTCACTGACCCCTTTTCATAGAAAGTATTACTCAGCACCGCCCTGGAAATCTTTCTTCTTGAAGAGGACAAACTTCTTGAAGAAGAAAGCTCCCCCCTGAAGTGCATCTAAGAAGACCACCCCATCATCTCAGGACCCGTAGGGGTTCTACTCCCCCATTTGTGAAACATGGTGCAGGCAGAAACTAGTTGGGGTCCCCTCACCTTCTACCGTCTGTCACTAAACCAGCAACCTTCGCGGTGGGGTCATCTAACTGTGCCTTCCCTAAAAAGAATTGGGGTTCCCTGGGCATTACCGAAGCAGAAAACATCTTGCACCTTTTCTCCTGGCAATTGACCTCATCTCCAGATAAGGCCATTTCCTCACTGCTGAGCGAAGTGCAGGAATGTTGGTTCATAAGCTCAGGACCATCTGTGGGGACCGGGAGTTGGCAAATGGAGTGCAGAGGGGACGGACCCACCTTTGATCTCTCACCCCTGGGTCCTCTGGTATGCCCAATGCTAGCCTCCCTGCAGGCCCTCCTGGGTCGGGCCCCATGACTCTCCTCTGTGGCTCTGGCCTGCACTCAGCTGAACCTTCCAAAGCTCTGGGGGTGTCTGATGCTCCTACACTGACCAGGACTCAGGCTTTGAACAGTCCCTGCTGTGTCCTCCTGCTGTGTTTCCCTATTGGAAGGGTTTTCTGGAATCTTCTGTCAGCATGAATGCTCATGTGGCTTTCCTTGCTGACCTGAATTTTTCTCCTCATGAGAAAAATTTTCTTCTTTTTTTAAAGGGCTCAGAATATTTTTGTTTGTTCTTGGGCCACACTCTGTGATGCTCAGGGGTTACTCCTAGTTTTGCACTAAAAAATTACTCCTGGTGGTATTCATGGGACCATTTAGGGTGCAAGGGATCAAACCCTGGTCAGCTCTGTGCAAGGCAAGTACCTTGCCCGCTATACTATCGCTCCAGCCCCCAAGAGGTCAGAATATTTTGAAGTTCAAACAGTTCTATTCTTTAATTTTGTTTTTGGGCCACACCTAGCAGTGCTCAGGGCTTATTCCTTACTTTGTGCTCAAGGATCACTCCTGACAGGGCTTGGAGGATCATATGGGATTCAGGGGATTGAATTCAGGTCAGCTGTTTGCAAGACAAGTACCCCCTGACTGCTGTTATATCACTTGGGTCTCCAACAGTTTTATTTTTCACTCTGTGGGTGATTTAAATGTTCCTCCCTGCAGCCTTCCTCCTATTCAAACGGAAATGGACAGACTTTAATCTAGAGGAAGGGAGCCAGGATCATGTGTGGACTAAAGATATTAATTCTCAGCTTTGGTTTCCAAATCAGCGTCCAAAGAGAAGGACAGTCAGGGCTGGAGGGTACAGCTAGAGCTGGAGGGGTTAGGTGCTGCCCTGCACCGAGTGACCCGTTTGATTCCCAGCATCACATGGGACCCCAAGCACAGCTGGAGAGTGACCTCCTAGCTGCTGAGTGTGGTCCCAGCAAACCGAAAACAACCCTCCAAAAAGAACAGCCTTTACACTAGGCTTTCTAAGAAGACGGAAAGTTGCGTAGAGCTCCAAAGAAGAGGTCGGGGGCATCAGGGGCATCAGGGGCGGGGTCAGCACATGGCGCCAGGTGGGTGAGGTGCCCCGCAGGACTCAGGGGGGTGGGCCCTGCTCGAATTCAGGCTTAGAACATGTGGGTACTGATTTTGTTTATTATTTCTTTTAAAGATTTATTTATTTTGCTTTTTGGTTCACATCCAGTGATGCTCAGGGATTACTCCTAGCTCTGCACTCAGGAATCACTCCTGGCAGTTCTTGGGAGGACCCTATGGGATGCCCGGGATCAAACCCTGGTTGGCCACTTGCAAGGCAAAGGTTCTCCCCTCAGTTCTATCGCTCTGGCCCTGGTACTGATTTTGTTTAAACATATATGGGGATGCAATTTGAGGGAGTCTGAGCAATCTGTGGAGATCTTTTTCCTGGGGAGTTTTGGTCATGGGTGTGATCCCCAGATATTAAAAAAAGAAGAGGAAGAGACTTCAGGTTCAATTCAAGAGTTTTCAGGATCTCATGAGCAGAGGTGACATGAGCTGAGGAGTACAGGAACAATGTCCACGAGGACATGAAGGCCTACGCTATGCCACAAAGACCACCCCCAGGCCCAGACACTCCCATCTGAGATGCTGAGAGTTTTAGATGAGTCACTCTGGGAAGGACACTAATGCTCACATCTCTACTCATTCATACTTTATTTCTTTTTTTTTTCTTTTTGGGCCACACTCAATGATGCTCAGGGGTCACTCAGGACTCCTGGTGGTACTAGGGGGACCCTAGGGGATGTCAGAGATAGAACCCGGGTCGGCTGCGTGCAAGGGCAGGGCCCTCCCGCTGGACTCTTGCTCTGGCCTCTCATTCACAGTTTCAAGATGCGTCTCCATGCTGCGTGCTGGGAAAGTGGTGATGGTGCTGGGTGGCCTGGATCAAGCCTGGGCTTTTACAGGACATGCCGGAATCAGTCAGCTCTGCCCCTGGTGCCGTCCTCCGGCTTCTTGCCTGTGACCTGGCCCCTGACTCCCAGAGGCCTGGCTACTGGATTACAGTGCCCTCCTCGGTGTCCCACTGCACAGTGACAGTCTCGGCCCGGGTGCTGTGCTCCACGTGGCAGGCGAGGGGACTCCCGTCCTTCAGGGACACCCTCACCACCACCCAGGACTGGTAAGTGCCACTGCCGCTAGGAAGCATGTCCCCCCTAAACTCCGGCTCCAGGGGGCTGCCGGCCCGAGTCCAGCGCAGGGTGATGCCAGGAGGGTAAAACTCATCAGCACGACACTTGAACCATCTCTGGTGTCCTGGAGCCACGTGGTTGGTGATGGTCACCGAAGGGGCATCTGCAGAAGGACAGAGTATGGGTCCTGGGGGCTGAAGTCCACACTATCCTGCCCAGGACCCCCCCGCCCTCTCCTGGGTCTGAGTTCTGTTTTTTTTCTTTTCGGGGGGGATCCATACCCAGCGATGATTGGGGTGACTCCTGGCTCAGCACTCAGGGATCACTCCTGGCGGTGCTTGGGCAAGGTTAACGTGCTCCCCAACTGCACTCTATCCCAGGCCCCTGGGGAGTCCCTGAGGTGGAGTCGCAAGCTTGGTCTAGGGCACATCTTGGGGCTACTTTCCAGCCTGGCCATTCCTAGAGCTTTGTATTTTTAAATTTCATTTCCTTTGATTTATTTATTGGTTTGGGGACCACACATTATTAGCTTTTGGGGTGGCAGTGCTCAGGGGTTACTCCTGGCTCTGCACTCAGGAATCACTCAGGATCACCCCTGGTAGGGCTCCGGGTACCTTCTGGGGTGGCAGGGATTAAACTGGGGTTGGCTGTGTGCATGCACATTATTTATTGCTTGGGCTTACTCCTGGCTTTGTGTTTAGGAGTCTCTCCTGGAAGGTCTCGGGGGTCAACCAGGGTTGGCACATTCAAGGCAAGTGCCTTAAACCTGGTCATATGTCTCTGGCCTTCAGAATTATTTTCTCATTTGATGTTGTCTTTTTGGGCCACACCTGATGATTTTCATTCATTTATTTACTTATTGGCTCTTTGGGTCACACCTGGCAGTGGTCAGGGGTTCCTCCTGGCAATGCACTCAGGAATCACTCCTGGCAGTGCTCAGGAGACTCTATGGGGTTCTGGGGAACGAACCCAGGTCAACCTCATGTGAGGCAAACGCCCTCCTCATCATGCTATTGATCCAGCCCCACCCGGTGGTTTTAGGGGCTGTTCTGGCTAGGAGGTCACTCCTGATGGTACTTGGGACTCTGTGGTGCTGGGGTTCAATCCCCTTGCCTTAACCTTAGTCCTGCCTGCCTGATGCTAGCCAGGGAGTACTGACTTCTGATGGCGTTGACTTCCGATTTTGTGCCACCCCCAAATATTTTGGATTGGTCTTCCCCCAAGCCTCTGAGGGAACCCACCCCAGCCCCACTGTCCCTCGCCTGTCCTGCCCCACATGACCCTCTTTCTGGATCCTTCTCATTCCAAGGTCTCTTGGGGCCATCAGCCCTATCCCTCTGCTCTCTCAGGGTCGACATTCCTCCGTGAGCCCCACAGCACGGACCCTCCCCTACTTCTTCCCCCACAGGGGTACCTCGTCGGTCCAGGAGGTGCTTCCCGAGATGCAGGTACCTCCGCAGCATGGCAGGACACTCCTCCTCCAGGTAGGCCTTGGACCGCTGCAGGTACTCGGCCTCCGCCTCCCACTTGCTCTTGGTGATGCCAGCGGCTGGGTCCAGGGTCACCCAGGCGGGGATGCTCTGGTTGAAGGTGATGAAGTCACTGCCGTCATAGGCGTAGCTCCAGAAGGCACCGCTGCTCACATTATTCTGTAGTTCACAGCCAAACCTGCCCTGGAAAGTGTGGGGCGCTGCAGGCACCCCCAGTGACCCATGAGCCCGCGGACAGAGCCTTCTACATGCTCCCATGCTGGGCAGGAAAAGGGTTTTGGATCTGGTTTGTTTAGGGGCCCCTCAGGGCTGACTCCTGACTCTGCACTCAGGGATCATCCCTGGTAGGGCTCGGGGTACCCTCTGGGGTGCCAGGGATTAAACTGGGGTTGGTTGCGTGCATGTAAACCACTTTATTTTTATTTATTTAATTTTTTTTTCATGTAAAGCACTTTAAATATTCCACTATCTCTTCAGTCTGAAAAAGAGTTTCTGCTATCTTGGCGAGAAGTTGCTGGGTGAAAAAGTTCTTGTCCAAGGGGGTGTGGTGCTGCCATCAGGTCAATCTGTACCTATGTGGCGAGTACATCAGCAGCCTGATGGCGTCTTCAAACTTCCAGATACCCCAAAATTGCTGCTGTGCCTTTGGCCAGACCCCAAAAACTTGGGGCAAAGTTTACCAAGAGAGTAAATGGCCAGAAGTTAGGTATGTGGGAAACACACCCACAAACCACCTCTGGCTCAGCTATATAATTGGAGGCATGGCCTCTCTGGTTCCTGATCGAACTGCTTAAATGGCCATGATCCCAGAGACTCAGAAAAAAAAAATCTCGAAACCCAGTGGCTTTTGGCAGAAATTCGTCTGGTCCCTGCAGTAGGTTACCTTTGCTGGCCTTTTCCCCCCCGGCGACCCAGTGGCTGCCATCCTTCAGAGGCCACTGGACAGTCAGGTTTGGGCCCCCAGTGATGAGACATGCAGGGCCTCACAGGATGGGGGTGGAGCCAGTCCTGTCCTCCCCACCCCAACAAGACCCCAAGTCATCGCCCACGAACGGCCTCTCTGGCTCCTGATCAAGCTGCTTAACCGCCATGATCCCAGATACTCAGAAAAAAATCTCGAAACCCAGTGGCTTTTGGCAGAAATGCATCCAGACCCTAAAGTACGTCACTGTCGCCGGGCCACCCCAGGGAGGAAAGGGTGTTATCACTCCGCCTGCTCCCCCTTGGCGGCTCGGTGGCCATCATCCTCCAGAGGCCATTGGACGGTCAGGCTTGGGCCCGCAGTGACAAAACTTGTTGGGCCTCATGGGATGCAGGGGGAGCTGGGCTTGTCCTCCCCACCCCAACGAGACCCCAATCATCGCCCACGAACGACCTCTCTGGCTCCTGATCAAGCTGCTTAATGGCCATGATCCAAGAAACTCAGAAACTAATCTTGAAACCCAGCGGCTTTTGGCAGAAATGCGTTCGGACCCCGCAGTAGGTTTACTGTCACCAGGCCACCCCAGGGGGGAAAGGGTGTTGTCCCTCCGCCTGCTCCCCCTTGGTGGCTCGGTGGCTGTCATCCTCCAGAGGCCATTGGACAGTCAGGCTTGGGCCTGCAGTGACGAAACTTGTTGGGCCTCACAGGATGGGGGTAGAGCTGGTCCTGGTCTCCCCATCCCAATGAGACCCCAAGTAATTGCCCACGAACTGCCTCTCTGGTTTCTGATCAAGCTGCTCAACGGCCATGATCCCAGAGACTCAGGAGCAAATCTCGAAACCCAGTGGCTTTTGGCAGAAATCCCTCCAGATTTAAGTGTTAAAATTTCAGAATTTCAAAATCACATGGCCCTACTGCAGCCATGTGACATCATATGTTATTCATAACCAGCAATAGAACACAAATTGTCTATTGTTGCCTTTTCAGCAGATCTGAATGTTGGGGTAAAATCTCAAATAATAAGGGTTGGTCTGGTGTCGAAATATTGAATGTGATCAAAGTAAAAGAGAGAATAATGTGGAAATCATCTGCCCCACGGGTAGGGGGAGTGTGTGGGATGGGGGTATACTGGGGTTTTTGGTGGTGAAGTGGGCACTGGTGAAGGTACGGGTGTTTCATTGTATGACCGAGACTTAGACCTGAAAGTTTTGTAACTGCTCTCACGGTGATTCAATAAATAAAATTTCATAAAATGAAAAATAAAAGTTCTTGTCCAGACACACAGCAGTCAGGGGAGGACCCTAAGCTTAGTTTGGGGGTCTTAGGGTGATCTGGGATGGGACACTGGATTTGCAGCCAGGGAATTTCAGAGCTGGAGACGTGAGGAAGATTTTTAACCCTTTCTATCTTCACCAAGCCTGGAACGATAGCACAGTAGTGCGGTGGGGAGGGTGCTTGCCTTGTAAGTGACCAAAGTGACCAACAAGGGTTTGATCCCTGGAACCCCACATCGTTTTCTGAGTACTGTCAGGAGTGATCCCTGAGCACAGAGCCAGGAGTAAGCCCTAAGCACCACTTTGCTGAGGGGTGAGGGAGCATGCGCCATTCAGAAGCCTGTTTCCAAGGTCAACAGAAAGATTGGATTTCATGGTTTGGGAAGGATTATGAAATCCCTGTCCTGGCGCTGAGGGGGGTAAACTCTACTGAATAAACACCGTCCCTCACGTCTGCCCGTTCCCCGGCCCTATCACAAGTCCTTCCAGTCACGATTCTGGGAAACTGGCTGCCCCTGGAAGGGGCACACAACCTCAGGTCCTGGCAGTAGAAGTTGGTGTTACTTGCCGGCATGAGGAGAGCTGCTGGCTCCCACCTCTGTTCCCACCCCGCGGCTTGTCTCCTGCCCCTTGAGGTCATCTTGGTGTGGCTTCTCGGAGGATAATGCTGCTACTGTTACGCGGGCTCCTGTTGGGCGGCTACTGTCCCTGTTTCCTTCCTCATCCTCACTGGGAGCTCCCTCTGACTCTTCCCACCCAGTGCTCGGGGCCCTGGGGCTACTCCCAGGAGTCCTCAGCCCCTGGTCCCCACCCCAATGTTCCCTTTGGACAGTGCTGTGTATGTGGTTGCCAGGTGGGGGCTGGGGCCCGGGAGTCTGCACACCAGGCAGGCCTGCACCCGAGCCCGCACTGTCTCCCAGCCTGTCTGCACTGCTCTGCTCCCCTGTGGGAAACATTCAGCTTTCAGGATGCTTGTGGCACTCCCCATCCTATAATGATTCAGCCTCAGCAGCCTGTGAGGGGTGGCTCTGGGGGTCTGTGGTGGGGTTGGGGAGGAAGGGGTGGGTGGGATGTGAGTGAGTATCTAAGCTACAGAGCCACCAGTTACTGTCAGCCTGGGCTCAAACCGCAGCGATTAAACTTAGAAATGAGCCCATGAAGTGGGAACCTGGGGAGGGAATGTTTCGGGGGAGCTAGCACTGGTGGTGGGAGTGGAAGTGGAACAGCGTATGCCTAAAACTCTATGATACACATTTGTAAATCACGGTGTCTAAATTAAAATAAAATCAGAGTAAAAATAAACTCCAGGAGTGGAAGCAGCCTCATCCGAACTGGAGTTTGGGGACTTGAGGTCAGTGGTGTCTGATAGTACAGCTGAAAGAGAGTGGGGTCAGACGTCACTTCCGGTAGTGAGGCCTGACCCCACGCAGGGAGGAGTGCTGGGTCTGACGCCACTTCTGGTAGGTGCTAAGGGCCCAGGGGGAAGGGCAGGGATGAGGCAGGTGTTTTGGAAGAGTTGAGGGCCTGCAGAAATGTCTGTGTATTTTGGGGGAAGGTGAGGCACCAAGCAGGACCCGTGGGACCCAGCCCGGCTCCTTGGCATGGCTCAGTGCTGGTACCCCGGTGGTGTTAAGCCTCGACTCTGTCCTTCTGCCATCCCTCCTGCCGCCCGAACACGCTTGGCCGCTGCTGAACCCCACCCATGTCCCCGGCTCACCTTCCGGGTCCTTGTAGTAATTGACGGCGTCTTTCAGGGTCTCCAGGAAGAAGTCCCCCCTAGCCTTCTGAAGCTTGCTCTCCTTCTCCCAGTCCTCCACCCCGTTCAGCTGTGCCCACGGGCCCAGGGGCTCGGCTCGCCCACGCGTGCTGTCGTAGCGGAACAGGGCCTGGTCATTGAGGTAGGCCATGGCCTGGAAGCTGGGCTCTCCCTCTCTGGGCTTGGACTGGCCGGTGTAGAGAAAGCTCAGCGAGTACCGTCCTGCCAAGAGGAGAGACGTGGGGGTCCATGTGGGGGCAGCTGCCTCCCCAGCCCTCTCCCACTGAGACACCAGCTCAGCCTCCTGGTGGGGACCCAGGCCATATGAAGGGGGCGCAAGGTGACGGGGACTTAATCCTCCTGTTGTGACCATCAGATCTGGGCTGGCTGAGCCCTGCTCTGTGAAAGCCATCCCGATGCAGGTCCCCTGATGCAGACAGCCTGACCCCCCTCATGTCTGCACAGATGAGACCCGTGAACCCCACTGTACCTTCTAGGAACATGCTGGCTGAGCCTCCTGACAGTGCAGGGAGGGGAACAGACTGGAGAACAGGAACCACATACCTGGTGGGCTCCTGTGTGCATGCCTGTATGTGTGTCCGTGTGTGTCTGTGAGTGTGTGGACACGTCCACCATTGATTCTAGCATCACTTCATGATGGACCACACGGTGGTCCTGATGCGGGGTCAGATGTACCCCTGTGCCCTGCCTGCTGCTCGGTGGAGCTGGGGTTGTGTACGTGGGGGTTGGAGACTGGCTCTCTGCTGTCCAACCTGCTCCCACAGACGCCCTTTGGGGCTGTGCTCCTGCTAAGCATGGCAGGAAGAGGAAGAGTAGGAAAGTTCTCTCTGGTTGGCTCCTGATCTGCAACCCAGGGCAGGTCTCTTCACCTTTCTGCACCTTAGTTTTGTTCCTCTATAGACTTAAAATTTGAGATCTAGTTCCTTGAAAGGCTGGTTTGGCTTGTCCAGAGGCTTCATTAAGGGTGCCTTGCTCCCACGTTGCCCTGCTCAGATTCCCCTGTACTCATCTCTGATCCCCACTCCTCCGCCCCCACTCCCCCATCGGGGTCTCCAGCCCCCACTCACCAGGACCCCACTCCCTTGCCAGGGTCTCCAGCGGGGCCACAGGCCGCAGGAAAAGCAGAAAGGACAGCAGGAGAGGCACCATCATGCCCAGGTCCCAGGTCGGCTGCTGGAAGGTTCTGGACATCTGGGCGCGGAGCTGGTGGAGTGGAGAGGTGGAGTCCCGGGAATGGCCAGGCACAGAGCCAGGCTGGAAGGAGGTTCCGGCTCCTGGGAGGAGGCAACACTAGGGCACAAGGCCAGGGCTGGCAGAGGTGCTAAGCTACTAATCCCTGTGTCCTGGGGGGAAGGACCACCAGCCCCCAGGGCTCTCAATATGTTGACGTGCCCCAGCCCGAGCCTGACCTTTGCTGAAGACAATGACGTTGGGGCCGGAGCCATCGCGCAGCGGGGAGGGCATTTGCCTTGCATGCCGCCAAGCCGGATACGAATCTGATACCCCATATGGTTCCCCCAGCTCTGCCAGGAGTCAGCCCTAAGCACTGCCAGGTATGCCCCTAAAGCATTAACCAAAGCAAAGCCAGAAACGTCCTTCCCTTTTTCGGTCAGTCGTTAACTCCCACTCCTGGCCTCTGGCTCAGGGCCCTGAGTGTTGTAGCTTGAATTCTAGTTGGTCACCATCACTCTGTCTGCAGAGGGGCTTGTGCCTGGCTGCTGTCCAAGAGCCCTCTCAAGTGGGAATGCCGATGCTCGGGAGACTGTCAGGACAATCTGGCCCTCGCTGCCGGCCTCCTGGAGCTCTCTGGTGGACACGGGGCACCCAATCCGCCTCGCTTCAGAGGGTCCCAAAACAAACGCTGAAACTCCTGCGGGTCTTGCCAGTAATATCCCATGTGGCCACTAGAGGGAGCCATTCAGGGGGCTGGGAGCAGATTCTGAAGCAGAGTTAGGCAGAAGTTTCTCAGGTACTCACAGACCAAACCATTGGTCACAATCAAAAGGGAATGATGATTAGTTTTCTTTTTTTCTTTTTGGGTCACACCCAGCGATACTCAGGGGTTGCTCTTGGCTCTGCACTCAGGAATTACTCCAGGCGGTGCTTGGGGGGGGGGGGGGCATATGGTATACTGGGGATCAAACCCGGGTTGGCTGCGTGCAAGGCAAACACCCTACCCACTGTTCTATCGCTACAGCCCCCTGATAATTAAATTTTCATCTTTAATTTGCATGTAGTTCTTCTTTCTCCTCTACTTAGCGGATCTATAGCTTGGGGCCAGGGCGAGAGGACAGCGGTATCTCCCAGGCCCTGGCTTTTGATCTTGAGATTTTTAACCCCTGTTTTAAGTTTCTTTTTTATGACCCAGGTGTCTCAGTTTTCTGCTTCTCCCGATCCAGTCTTGGGAAGCTGCAATGATTCTAAAACTCCAGCCATTTATTCTAGGTTCTCCAATTTAGTGGCATAATGTTGTTAGGATCTTCTGCATTTCTTAATTATTTGGTTTAAATACTTCCCATTTATCTCTGAAACAATTTAGTTATTTAATGTAATTATTAGTTTTGGCTTTTGGGTCGCACCTGTCAGTACACAGGGGTTCCTCCTGGCTCTGCACTCAGGAATCACTCCTGACAGTGCTTGGGGGACCTCAAGGGGTGCCAGAGATTGAACCCGGGTCAGCTGTGTGCAAGGCAAGCACCCTCCTGCTGTACTTCCTCTCTGTCTCCTGATTCAATTTATTGGGGCTTCAAGTTTTTTTCCTCCTTAAGAATTTCGCTAAGGGTCTCCCAATCTTGTTTATTTTTGGTTTTGGGGCCATACCTGGCCATGCTGAGGGGTAACTCTTGGCTCTGAATTCAGGAACTACTCCTGGCCATGCTCAGGGAACAATACAGGATGATGGGGATTGAACCTGGGTCAGCTACTTGCAAGACAAATGCTCTCCCCGGTGCCCTATTGCTCTAGTTCTTGCGCATATATATTAATGCCAGTTGTTGCCGTTCCACATTTTGGGTTCTAGTTTTCTTACTGATGTTGTTCTAGCTGGTTGATCTGTCCAGTGTGTGAGGGAGGTTTAAACTCACGGGCTGGAGTGATAGTACAGCAGGTTAGATGCTTGCCTTCACATGGCTGACCTGGGTTTGATCCGAAGCACCCAGAGCCCTTCCAGGAGTGCTCCCTGAGTGCAGAGCCAGGAGTCAGCCCCAAGCATGGCCCCCAAATCAAAATGAAAATGAACAAAAATCTCTCATTATGCTGGCATAATCATTCCCATCAGTCTATACTTCATTTCTCTTAGCTTCATTAATTTTGCTGTCCCTTTAGTGCATATATATTGATAATATTTTAGCCTTCTTGGGCTGTTGATTTGTTAACCGTCACACAATGATTGTCCCTACATCTACCTCTTATTACTTTCTTTAGCTTGAAAGCTATTTATATTTATTTCGTCTGATATAAATAAGGCTGCCCATATATTTTGTGTGTGTGTGTGTGTGTGTGTGTGTGTGTGTGTGTGTGTAGGTGCTCAGGGTTTACTCCTGCTCTGTGCTCAGGGAATACTCCTGGTGGGGCTCTGGGAACCATATACGAAGCTGGAAATTGAAACTGAGTCAGCTGCTGTCTTATGACTCTGGCCTCAGTGAGAGTTTCTCAAACATCCACAGGATTGAGCAAGTGCTTGTGACCCTGAATTGTGAGCACCTGGACAACAACAGGACGAGTTTGTAGCTGCTATAAGACCAAAGTCCAGCTGGCTTCAGCTCTGGTTCAGGGTTTCTAGTTGCTGGCATCTGGCAACTCGTGTTGCAACAAAGTTTGATTAACTTGAACTGGAGATCATTTGGCACATGACCCAATAGGAGCTTTTCTTTTCTTTTTTTTTTTTTAATTTTATTTTCAAAGATTTGTTCACAGTGATAGATTACATTTAATATTTCCACATCAATTCCACCATCACACCTTCTCACCACCATCATTTTGAATTTTCCCACCCCCACCCAGCCTGCCCCAAAGGCAGATGCTAAATAATTTATTTTAGATTGGTTGTTATGAATAATTGACTAAAGATGATCAAAAAAGGTTTCCTTAGAGGAAAGTGTGTGAAAATTGTTGTATCTCATCTCGGAGTCATTAAACCTCTGTATTAGAGATCAATTTTGAATCTTGTGTACTAATATATATACACATATATGTGTACATATGTAGGTACATATGTAATTTTTAAAATCAAGATTGGTTGTCTTCTACCTTACTCCCCATCAAATGTGGTGTACTAATCTTGGTATATCAGTGGCATAATTGTATGAGATGTTGCGTGACTGTGAAAGCAGCTGTGCACTCCTGGAATTCTAAATTTTTTTCATAGGGTGCTGGAACTGGTGTTAAAACTTTTAAAATTAGATGGTGATTTTGGGATCTGGAGGCAAATCTGCAGCATGTTGCTCTCTTCTGAGATTAATTTGTGAGTCTCTAGATGATGGCCATTAATACACTTCAGTGGCGCCCAGACGCAGTTTGTAGGTGTGCCTGTCAGGAAACTGGCAGGGAGATGGGGGTGGTCCTCATTCCCGGCTCTGTGAAGCCTGGAGATTTCAGTCACAAGTCCCGCATACCTGGGTTTTTCAGCAGATTTATTCTCATGTGTGGGGGCTCAGCATGAGCATGTGGGGATTGTGAGCGTGGTGGCGATTGGGTTCTGGAGGTTTGCAGCTGCCGGGATTCTTTTGGGGGCAGGTGGAGGGACACACTTGCTGCCCTCCGAGGTGCCCGGATGAGATTAGCCTGGCTCAGGGTGGGGAGACGTCTCTGTAGCATGCTGCTCTCTTCTGAGATTCCTCAATAGGAGCATTTAAACAAGCTCATCTGCCTGGCCTCAAAACTGGGGAGTTTTGAAGTTTCCAGTGTCAGGTTGTAGAGGTTGCTTTGAAATGTGACTGGCAGGTGGGCTTGACTGTGGCGTTTGCTCACAGCTGTGGCCTGGGGAAAATTGCACTCTCTGCTCAGACCTGCTCAGTCCCAGTCTTTTTCTGGATGAACACAGAGGTGAACCTTTGATGGAAAGAGTGTGGTGCACCCCGAGTGGGGAACCTCACTTTGGTTTTGGGCCAGCTACAGTGGCCAGTGTGTAAGTTCCTGCTGCCCCTGGGAACTTGCCCACAGGGGAGAGGCTCTACCTTTTGAGGCAGAGTTGGGGCTGCAATGCTGGGTGAGGTTTTCCTTGGCAATGGCGCTCCCAGTGCTGGTCTGGCATCCACAGTGTTGGGCCAATGACTCAAGTCCGTTTTCGACTCAGTGAACGCAGGTATAAAACAAAGCTGCTACATTCCGCCTCAGCCCCTTAGACTGACCGACGTTCCTGATGCAATACTATCTCACCGACCCCTTTTTGCTTGCATGTTCTGCTTCTCTCCTTCACTATGGACTTGTCAGAGGTTTGTGTTTTCCAGGGTTGCAAGCCCTAGAGGCGTGGGCCATGTTCTTCAGAGGGTTTTCTCAGTGAGATCCTTGCGGGATGTGGGGGACCACATGGGATGCCGAGGATTGAACCTGGGTTGGCCATATGTGGCTAAGAGCAAGGCAAGTGCCCTCCCCACTTTTGGTTGCTCTCCACTTATGATAGGTCCCAGAAGGGCTAATCTTTATTGTGGAAGACATTTCCAGAAGGAAAATTTTCTAGAACCTCAGCTGGTAATGAAGCAGACAGGCTCAACTTGGAATAAAAGCAGGGTGTTACCTCTGTGTCAGCGGTTCATTGAGTTAAATTTGTTGCCAAGTCTTTGTCATACTGACCAGAAACGCGTTTTCCTGGAAGCAAAGATAAACAAATGGGATGACATCAACTGAAGAAGCTTCTGCACAGCAAAATAAACTATAACCAGAATCAAAAGACATCCACACGATGGGGAAATAAGACACCTCCGCGGAAATAAGACACCTCCGCAAGACAGGGAGAAAATATTTTTCCATTGCTCATCTGTTGGAAGGTTAATGATATCTACTAAGATTTATAAAACACTAGTAAAACTCAGCAACAGAAAAAGTCATGAGCGTGGAAAAAGTTATATGGAGTGAAGTTAGTGGGAAGGAGAGGAAGCGACACAGAATGGTCTGTCCTCTGTGTGGCAGCCAACAAGAGATAGAGGGAGGGAGGAGGAGAGTAAACCTCACAATCGGTCCACAGAACAGAGTGACGAAGAGGGCCACAAATGCTTCCATCCCAATCCTATCTTTCCAGGCCGTTCCCTCATCCTTGCTGGGGTAGAAGCTGCCTGCCCCTCATCACATGGCCTTTCTGTGTGGCTCGCCGTGGCCCCGCGTGGCCTTTCTGCGTGGCTTGCCATGGCGTGTGGCCAAGGCTGTGGCAAGAGCAGGAACAAGGAGGAACTTGTCTGGAGGATAAAGAGGTGGGATGAGATTTCTCCTTCCCCCGGGCTTGTTTGCTGGTCCCAGTTCTCAGAAAGTCTTTGTACTGGAGCAATTTGGGACTCCAGTCAGAGCTTAGACACAATAAAGCCGAAACCCACCCCCCTCAAACCCGGACCCAGACATCAGCCCTCGCCGCTGTCTCCCTCATCACCCCACTCATCCAGCTGCCTTGGACCCAGATCAATGGAGTCATTGAGGAATCAGGGACATTCATGAGACTCTGAAACATGTGCCTGTTCCCTGACCCTGGGGGAGGGGGTCACCCTCACTCCCACTCCCATTGCAGAGGGCCAGACAAGAAATTTGGTCCCTGGGGCGTGACGGCCTGCAGAGTTCTGAGGTGGGGGGGGGGGGGCGTCTGACCCAGAGCCTGCTTCTTCTCTGCCTCTTTGGTTCACTGCCTGGTGTCCTGTGCTCCAGCCTTCGGAAACGTTGCTTCTGGCTGTGTCTGATGCGGGATTCCCGCAATAAGTAGTTACTTCCGAAAAGCTGGAACGATGTCTTGATCCTGGGAAATATCTTTGCTCTTAAAACTATCTTGTGGGGCCACACTTGAATGTGCTCAGGACTTACTCTTGGTGCTGTGCTCAGGGATCACTCCTGGCGGGCCTGGAGGAGTATAAGGGGTTCCGGGGATTGAACCTGGGGCTGCCACATGCAAGGCCTATCCGCTGTGCTATTGCTGTGGCCCTTTGGACTTTGCTCTGATTTAGCAGCGTGCACTGCTCTTTGGAGTGGTGTGACAGGTTGTCTTTCTGCTCCACCTTCTTTTTCATCCAGCCACGTGTGGTGCTCTCATCTCATAAGTGAGTTGTTTGTAGGTGGTGTCCCCTGTTTGTTCCAGTCAGCGGCAGCCACCTGAATCCTGACCCCCCAAACACGCCTGCAGCCTGACCCTGTCCCCCAAACAAGCCTGGAGTCTGTCCCCCCAAACAAGCCTACAGCCCATCCCCCCAAGCAAGCCTGCAGCCTGACCCCCAAACAAATCTGCATCCCGGCCTCACCCCCCAAAATGAACTTAGAGCCCTCAGGGTAGAGCCCCTAAACCCAACTTCTGAATCCGTGTTGTCGGCACAATGGCCATCAGGTCCTGCATCACACGTAGAGTGTCCATCTTTGTGGGCCTGGGGTGGAGGCTCTGGCCTCCCATCCTGCCTAGGGCTTTTCCATATTCTTCATCTGTTGCATTTCTCCCTTTTCCTCCTTTCTTCCCTTCCTTCTGGGTGAACTGATGACATGATCTGAATCCTTAATAACTTAGAGCTGGGGCTGGAGCGATAGCACAGTGGGTAGTGTGTTTGCCTTGCACATGGCCAACCCGGATTCGATTCCCAGCATCCCATATGGTCCCTCGAGCACCGCAGGAGTACTTCCTGAGTGCATAAGCCAGGAGAAACCATTGTGCATCGCCGGGTGTGACCCAAAAAGCAAAAAAAAAAAAAAAACCCCAAAACTTAGAGCCTATGAACTATAGTCTTTTTTGGGGGGAGGGGAATTTTATGAGACATACTTTATAACATCTACACAGACACACACAGACAGATACACAGATGCATGCACAGATGCAGACACACAGATGCAGACACACAGGCACACATTGACAACCACCTCTGAACACGCAGGTGCCCGTCCACACACAGATGCAGACACCGGCACTCGCAAGCCCACACATGCAATTTCTCCCTTTTATTTTCTGTCTCTCTTGCACAAACAAACTTGTCCTTTGACTGTTTTGGCCGGGAGAGTATGGGGCACACAGAGATTGGTTGGGTTTGATTTGGTTTTGGTGTTTAGGTTACCTGGCTATGTGATGCTGGGGATCGAAGCCCTTGTGCAGAGCCTGCACCCGGTCACTTGGACAATTTCTCTGGCCCTTGCAGAATTCATAACTCAAGAAACTCTCTCGCGTTGCTGGAGAGTCCACTGCCCAAGTCCACTGCAGCCCTCTGGGGGGAGTGAGACTCCACTGGGGCTCTCTCAGAAGCTGGATTCCCTTGCTCCACACAGGAAGTCTTCTCTGGAAGGTGAAGTCTTGTGCTCTCTGGGATTCTTTGCCCGTTCCCTGAGGACACCAGGAATGAAGAGGGAACTCAGGCGGTAGTGGGGGGCCCCCTGGAGATGGCAGGAACTTGTAGGTTCCCTCTGTTCACTGTGCTCAGAGCTGACAGGTGTGTGTAGGCTTTTGTGGGAACAGGTTGCAGGCCTGTTTGGGGGGCAGCCTAAGGGGGACTGTGACTGACTGGAACAGACTGGGGACCCCCCCAGGCGCTGAGGAAGGCAGGAAGTGAGGACAAGGGAAGCTGTGTGCAGGCTCCAGGTACACAGGAAACTCCTCTGGCGGCTGTTGGGAGGGGGGCGTGGTATTGCAGTGCCTCCCCAGGGGTACATAGTAGGCATCCTTTGGCCGTGCCAGCTGGGGCGGAGGACAGGGCGGGTCCTTGGCAGGGTAGGGGTCTCCCTCTGTTCTCTGCTTTTTCCCTCTTGACCCCGCAGAGCCTGCTGATTAGCTCTGGGTGCCTGTCTGAGAGGGCTGGGGGTTCAGGCCTGAGACGGGGGAACTGAGAGAGTCTTCTGGAAATGACTCCAATTCCCTGCACTTGGGTCCCCGGGGCCCCAGACTGCTGGGAAAGAACTGGAAGAACGATCCAAACAGGACTTGGAATTTACCAAATTAGTGTGGCTGTCCTGGGCCAGGCTGAGCTCTGGGATGAGCCCTCTGTACATGATGTTGGGACCCCTTGAGCTGCAGGACCCCTGGAGACTCTCAGGTGGCCCAGGACTAGCTGTGGTCCTTGTGGGCTGGGCGCTGGGGGCAGCCCCAAGTGTCCAGCCCCAGCCAGGGACAATGAGATGGGCTGGGCTTTTGTGGGTGGGAGGGGAAGTATGCCAGGGCCAGAGGCCAGAACCGCTGCTGCAGAATCTGAACAGGCACAGGCGCCTCCCTGGCCTCACCCCAGATGAAAGTGATCAGCCCCACTCCACAGGGTCCAGCCGAGGATCCAGGACTGGATGGTGCTAGACCCTGGGCGCCGCTGCTCTGTAGTTGAATTCGGTGTCTCTCCCATCTCAGCTTGACCATCTGCTCCTTCACTTGGCCACAGGCTTCCCCTTTGCTAAGTGAGCTGGTGAGTTGGCATTGGTTCTGATTTTCAAAATAGGAAATAGGTTTCATCTTGTCCATATTTACCGTGTCTGTATGTGTGTATGTATGTGCATGTGACTGTGTGTGTATGTATGTGTGTGTGTGTATGTGTGCATGTGTGTGTTTGTGTGGGGTTAGGGGCCTCTCAGGAGGTGCTCCCGGGGCCTGCAGGCTAGTTCTGGGTGACATCGTGCCCACAAGTGGAATGGCTCGTTCCCTGTGTTCTCACAGGCCAGATCTCAGCTTTGGGCCCTCTTTCCAGCAGGTATTTACTTTTCATTATCTTCGGTTTGTTCCAAATTCTGGAAGAAAGATCCAGTCTTCTTGGGTTCCTCAGGGGCCTCAGAACTTTCCTGTGGGGGCTGCGTGTACCACCACTGACTTCTGGTCTGCAGGATTTTGCTGCAAAGACCCATTTGTGGGGCCGTGAACGTGGGCAGGGCTGCTTCTCTCTAAGATGCTCGAAGGAGTCACTGTGGGGATGAAGTTGGAATGGCATGTTCCATGCCAAATCTCTCTTTCCCTGTGTACCCAAATGCTTGCATGTTCTTCTGGGCCCGAGGCAATGGGGCGAGAGTGTGGGCTGCTTGTCGGGCTGCAGATGGCTGGGTGGGAGCGGGCTGCTGAGCAGACAGAGATGCAGCTGGTGAAGCTGGGCTTGTAGCCCGGTCGTCATTCATCCCGAGTAGGCCAGTTCTGAAGACTGACCTGGCCTCTCTCACCCCAGGGAGCAGTGGGAAAGCAGAGTCCAGGGGCCAGTGTTGATCCGAGCAGCTTCTTTGTTTTGGGGCCACACCTGGTGATGCTCAGGGGTTCCTCCTGCCTCTGCACTCAGAAATCACTCCTGGAGGTGCTCAGGGGACTATAATGGGATGCCGGGGATCAATCCAGATCAGCTGCATGCCAGACAAACACCTTCTCCACTGTCTTATTGCTCCTTTTGGAGCAGCTTTTTGTTGTTGTTGTTGTTTTGTTTTTGTTTTTTTGTGTCACACCCAGCAATGCTCAGGGGTTACTCCTGGCTCTGCACTTAGGAATTTTCTAACTCTACTCAGTGGTACAGTTAGAAAATTACTCCTAGCGGTGCTCGGGGGACCATGGGATGCTGGGAATCAAACCCGCGTGCAAGGCAAATACCCTACCCATTGTACTCTCCCTCCAGCCCCATTGGAACAGCTCTGATTGGGTCACAGACCCTGTCACCCTTGGGAGAATATTCTGCTGGACTCTTGGCGAGGTTCTTCCCTAAGCTGGTTAGGTAGAAAGCAGTGGGATTCAACCACCTACCAGTGGCCTGCTGCTGGCCCATGGCATTCAAAGGTTGAAAATTACAAGACTAAAGAACGTCAGATTAAAGTGAGCCCTGACGCCCACCCCCCAGTCTGTTTATTTGATTCCCCAGCCAGACCTCTAAGCTAGCCCAATCTCAACCTCACTCCATGGCAGAAAGTCCAGTATTGAGCCCCCACCCCCCCAAGCATTTCAGGCCATGGGGCCAGAGTGCTTGGAGCAAGAGGGTGCCTTTTCCCTGTGTGTGCACATCGCTGATGCATGGTGTTGCCTGGTGCATGCTCACACACACTTTCTAGTGTACAGTCCACATGTGCACACTTCCTGGTGCACGCATGTTCCCTGTCTGTGGTGGGTGGACATTTCCTGGTGCATGCATGTTCGGAGAGCCCGGCAAGCTACCGAGAGTATTCAATATGCCAGACACAGTAACAACAAAGTCTCCAATGGAGACGTTACTGGGCCCGCTCGAGCAAATCGACGATCAACGAGAGGACCTCGAGCATGTTCCTGGGTGTAGATAGATAACATTGGTTTGTCCTTTCTCCCTGGCCACAGGGAACTTTGTTTTTTTTTTGGGTTATACCCATCACAGTGCTCCTAAGGTGCTCCTTTTCCTCTGTGTTTATCTTTTTTTTTTCTTTCTGGGTCACACCCGGCGATGCACAGGGGTTACTCCTAGCTCTGCACTCAAGAATTACTTACGAATTCTGGAAGAAATATGGGATGCTGGGAATTGAACCCGGGTCAACCAAAAGCAAGGAGAATGCCCTACCCAAACTGTGCTATCGCTCCAACCCCTCTCTGTGTTTATCTTTAACTTCTATGCGCTCTGCTTTCTCGGTTAATCACCTATATTCCCAAGTCAGATTCTGTGACTTGTAAAGTCAGATCCTTCTAAGGACTCTGGATTTTGTATTTGTAAGTGAAATATTGCTTTTCTCTTTCCCTTATGCCCTTTGCATAGTTTACTTTAGAGCAATGTCCTTTTTTTGTACAGACACAGGAAGACAGTTAATGCTATGCTTTTGTAACTTGGGAGTTAATTGACTCCAAATAATATTCACTCCTGGGCATCTGTCATATTTACTTGACTTGTGCCTCGGTTACCCTTAGTTCCTAGCACCCCAAAAGCAGGGTCCCGATAAAGGGACTGGATGAACCCAGGGCAAGGAGTAAGCTACCTTGGCATCGAATCGGGACAGCCAAGTGCCATAAAACGTATAAGTTAAGAGCATGGTCATGGATAAATTCTGTCATGATCCAAAGAGAAGTGACTGGACAAGGACACTGCCGGGGTTAGGAAGGACTAATCTGGCCTGAACACTGTAGTCTGGGATCTATAGTGAGATGTCCCCAGGAGAGCCATCCTAATAGCTTAATATATCTCTTACTGTGTCCATACAAAATGACTAGAAAGATTATTAAGAAGTAAATTAAAAAAAATTAAAACATTTATTTGTTTTTTATTTTTAATGAATCACTGTGAGGTACAGTTACAGACATACAAACTTTCATGATTATATTCCAGTCATACAATGATAGAGCATCCATCTCTCCACCACTGCCCATTCTCCATCACCAATGTTCCCAGTATCCCTCCTGCCACCCCCTCATCCCTCCCCCAGCCCTCTGTTAAGAAGTAAATTTAAGGTGACTATTTCAGTGGTTATGGACCAAGGAAAGGAGAAGATCTTTGTCTTAAAGAGCTCCCCCAGAAGGAAGGGATTTCATATGTTGATTGTGCTATCTGACTTAGGTACTTGCTACCCCCAACCTTGGTAGTTGGGCTCTTGACTAAGGCTGTGAGACTAGGCATGGGAGACTAGCCTGGGGGAAAGTAGGAAATGAGAATGAGGGGCCTTGTGACTGGAATGAGGTGCTCGGTGAGATTGGAATATCACAGGGGGAGAATGGAATAAATGGCAGAATGGAGATTCGAATAAACAGCGACTGATCACCAACCAGCTTGGCTGCCCTGTTCCCTCCTTCATGTGTCTGTTGGTGGCGGCTGCAGACGGGGGTGGAGAAGCGGCTCATGGCCACTGAATGAGCACGGCAAGAGAGCCCGCTCACTTACTGAACACACACCTGGGTGCAGCATGACCCCCACGGAGCAATAGGGTAAAGGTGAGGGCAGGAAGGAAGAGAGAAGGAGTCAGCGCTCACTCAGCAGTTGTGAGAGGGGCTAGGAGCCAGCCACCCACTCACTGTTGCTCTTTTACACAGAAACTCGAAATAGCTCCAGTCAGAACCCGGGAATTTCTCCAGTTCCTGCCAGCAGCAAGGTGGCTGCTGACTGTGGCTGTGCATCACCCGTGAGCAGGCCCCGGCCCCCAGCAGGGTCTCCCTCGCCTCCCAGGATGTGTGGCAGCTTCCTGCGGCAGCTGACGGTGGAGTTGAGTCGGCACTGCACCCCTGTGGGGCGCCTCCTTCTGCCTCTGCTGCTGGGGTTCCGCGTCCTGCTGCTGGCCACAGTGGGCCTGAGCGTCTACAGCCACGATCAACGTGAATTCACGTGCAACACGCTGCAGTGGGGTTGCAAGGTCGCCTGCTACGACGCGGCCCACCCTCTCTCCCCTCTGCACTTCTGGGCTTCCCAGATACTCCTGGTTGCTGTGCCCAGTGCCATCTACCTGGGCTTCGCCTTCTACCACGTGCTCTGGCATTGGGATGCGTCTGGGAAGCTAAAGGAGGAGGAGACGCCACGAGAGGGTGGAGGCAGCTCTGACCACCAGGGAACTGGGGCCCGCCAGCTTTTCTGGGCCTACGTGGTCCAGCTGGGGGTGCGACTGGCCCTGGAGGGGGCGGCCCTGGGGGGACAGTACCAGCTCTACGGGTCCAAGGTGCCTGCGTTGTTCTTGTGTCGCCGGGAGCCTTGCCCCGGGAGTGTTATGTGTGTTCTATCGCGGCCGTCGGAGAAGTCCATCCTCTTGAAGACCATGCTGGGCCTCAACGGGCTCTGTTTCCTCTTCACGCTTCTGGAGCTGGTACTCCTGGGCCTGCGGAGATGGTGGCCCGCCTTGAAGCGCAGACGTCCCTTTTCTAAGTGCTGCCTGACCTTGGGGGCTGCCAGAGGTCACAAGGAACAGAGCGGTAACCTCCCAGAGGTGGTAACGAAAGGGCAACTGCAAGAAGTTGGAGAGGGGCCGATTTCTTCCAGCCCCTAAAACCACCCTCAGAGGGACTCTCTGGCTGGTCCCGAAGGGGACGCAGGCAGTGGTCCTCACACTGCTTCCTCCACTCAGTTTCTTCCCGTGCGCTACAGGCTACAACTCTGCTTCCTCCCCATCTGCTCTGGCTTACCTAGAAACAAGTCTCAGCTCTGATGGGCTGGGCCAGGCCAGCCCGAGCTATAGCACAGCAGGGAGGATGCTTGCTTTGCATGCAGCCTGCCTGGGTTCAATCTCTGGCATCCCCTATGGTTGTCCGAGCACCTCCAGAGCAATTCTTGAGTGCAGAGCCAGGAGTAACTTGTGAGCACTGTCAGGTGTGCCCCCAAACCAAACAAACACCGCCTCACCCACTCCAAGTCTCAGCTCTGTTTGCCCCTGACTTTGCAGGGTCGTGGTAAAGCTGCCCGATCAGTTCTTCTTCCAGTCTTGGTAGGCCATGAAGCATCTCCAAGGACTGACCTAAAGAGCTCAGAATCTCTGGGCTTGACACCCACCTGCCTTTCCTCAAACTGGGTTAGAGGCAGCTACAGAAGCCTCGAAGCCCCCTCTGTCCTGGCAGCCACCCCGAGGCTGGCTGGGGCCCTTCCTGCTGCCGTAAACCTTCCTCGGCTCCCACATTCTCTGAAACTTCTCAGCCTGTGACCTCCAGGGGCCCAGGTACCTTCGCACAGTCCTGTTCCCAGGGGCTTTCTGAAGAGACTCATTCCAAGTCCGCTACCCTTGGGGTCTGGGCCGTGTTCCAGGGCACACGAAGAGCCCTGAGTTCCCTTCACTTCTTCCCCTTCGTGACTGTGCAGGGCCAGTTGCCCTCAGAACCAAGCAAAGGCCCCCCTTAAACTCCCCCTCAAGGCACACGGCCAACATGGTGGGTTCGACGGCTGATTTGGGGTACCAGGAGGGAAGGACTCCTGCAGAGTCTAACTCAGTGGTTACTTCCTTGTCTTAAATTTTATTTCTATTTGCTTTTTGGCCACAGATAGTAGTGCGCAGGGGTTACTCCTGGCTCTGTACTTAGGAATTACTCCTGGTGGTCTTGGGGCCATATGAGGTGCCAGGGATTGAACCTGGGTTGGCCGTGTGTAAAGCAAGTGCCTTACCCATTGTACTCTCTCCAGCCCCTATTACAAAGAACATTTGTGTGGTATAGGGGGTCGCTTGTGGTGGTGCTTGAGGGCCATTCCCACAGGGATATAGCTAGGGGTCACTCCCAGGGTGCCAGGGATCATACATGAACCCCTCAGCACCCCACAGTGGGCACTTTACAGCATAGTTGTTTCTTTTTTGTTAGCTCATTGCCCTCATCTCTGCCTAGGGCCAGACTCTTTCCCCAGCATCTCTGTCCCCAGTTCTTGTCCTTGAATCCTCAGCACAGAGCAGTTCCTTCATTTTGTTTTCTTCTGAGTCCCAAGTTATATGAGTCAATCATGAAGATTCACTTATAGAGAAAGGAACTGATTCCCCCAGGGACACCCAGCTGCAGTGCACAAAATACTGACTGTCCTTTCTGCAACCCAGTTGTTTCATTAAAAACAAAAACAAAACAAACAAACACTGTCCTCCCGTTGTTCATCGATTTGCTCGAGCGGGCCCAGTAACGTCTCCATTTTTTTGGAGACTTATTGTTACTGTGTTTGGCATATTGAATACGTCACGGGTAGCTTGCCAGGCTCTGCCGTGTGGGCAAGATACTCTCGGTAGCTTGCCGGGCTCTCTGAGAGGGGTGTAGGAATCGAACTCAGGTGGGCCATGTTGGCTGCGTGCAAGGCAAACGCCCTACCCGCTCTGCTAACAAAATAAAACAGTATGACACTAATATCCAATGCCAGGTAAAACGGGCCAGGAGGACTGGTCAATGGTTGGTCAATTGTGTGGGAGATGGAGGGTAGTTAAGATAGAGGAGGGACCATTATGACAATACTAGTTGGAAATAATCACTCTGGACTAGAACTGAGTGTTGAAAGCAGATAAAGGGATATACATGATAACCTTTTAGCATCCATACCACAAACCACAATGCCTAAAATGAGAGAGAGAGAGAGAGAGAGAGAAAGAGAGAAAGAGAGAGAGAAGAGAAGTGCCTGTCATAGAGACAGGCTGGGGTAGGGGATGACTTGAAGGGGTGGGAGGGAAACTGGTGACACTTGTGCTCAAAATTCACACTGGTGGAGGGATGGGTGTTGGAAATTGTGACTGAGATGCAATTATGACCAATTTTGTAATGTTCATAATTGTAATGCTCAAAATCTATCTCATGGTGATTCAATAAAAAAATAATTAAAAAAAAATAAAAAAGAGAATCACTTGTTGGCTGAAAGATTCCCTGGGACTAGCCAAGTAAGCAAAGGGGAACAAGCAATATCATCAGTTCTAGCTTCTCCTCATCTGGGCCCTCCCTTTCCAACAGCTGTGCTGAGACAGAGTTCCCATGCCAGGAAATCTCATGCCAGGAAATTAGAAGTCAGCAAGTCAGTGGCTTTAGAATTGTATATCCACCCACACAAATGATTTTAGAATATTTCATTAACTCCTGCCCGCACGGCAGAGTCTGGCAAACTCCCCGTGGCGTACTGAGTATGCCAAAAACCAGTAACAATGATGGGTCTTATTCTCCTGACCCTGAAAGAGCCTTAAATATGGCACTTTCTAAAATTTCAAGGGCTAGGACGAAGGAGACGTTACTGGTGCCTGCTTGAGGAAATTGATGATCAACAGGATGATTGTGATCGTTCATTAACTCAGAAAGAAACCCTGCGACTATCTGCTGAGATCCTCCATCAGTCCTTTGACTCCGATGTATTAGCAATCACATTTTTTTTCTCTCGTAGGTTCTCTTTTCCTGGGAATACAAGTGGAGTTATATGATATGTGGTCTTTGGATACTGGCTTCTTTCCTTTTTCAAGTGTTTTGGGTTCATCCACATTGAAATGTCTCTAAGTACTTCATACCTTGCTGTGGTTGAGTGCTACTCACTATCTGGCTAAAACCAATTTTGTTGATCCATTTTCCAGTTGATGGGTATTTGAATGATCTCTCCTCTTTGACCATATGAGTAATGGTGCTATGAGAGTTTCAGATAGTTTTACTATGAAAAACGTGTTCCCTTTACCTTGGAAGCATACTTGCTAAGAGCTAGGATTAATATTGGGTTCTAGTCCAGACATCCACAGATTGGTTGGACTATATTGCACACACTCACCATCATTCCACCATTGTGCAAGTCAAGGATCACAACTATTGTGTGTGCAAAAACCCACATCTTTTTTTTACAATAAATAAAAATAAATTTTAATAAAGCAATTAGGCACTTCAAAAGTTGGAGTAATGCTCAATGGGTCTCTTATTATAATTTCAATCACTACATAATAAAGTTTTATACTATACATTACAAAATTCTAGAAAACACAATGGTTATTTGTTTTTCTGTAGGAATACAGAATAAAAAAGGATCTGGGGAGATAGTTCAATGATCTGAAGCTTATGAACCCTGGGTTTGCTCCTTTTTTAAAAATTTATATTTATTTATTGAATCACTGTGAGAAAAGTTACAAAGCTTTCAGGTTTAAGCTCCGGTCATGCAATGATCAAACACCTTTCCCTTCACCAGTGCTTATTTTTCATCACCAAGAACCCCAATATGTTCCCCACTCACCCCTTCCAATGCCTGCGAGGGAGATGAACTCTACTTAACTCTCTATCTACTTTGATTACATTCATTATTTCGACAAAAGATGCACCATTATTGTTTAGAGTTTACACCCAACAATCAGAACTGCTGAAAAGGCATTGTGAAATAATTTGTTTTCTTCAGCTGGTTATGAGAACCATATGATGTTGCACGGCCACTATTGCAGCCATGCAATTTTGAATTTCTGATATTTTACTTATTAAGCCTGGAGGGATTTCTGCCAAGAGCCAGATTATTACAATATTGGTTTTTGTGGCTCTGGAGTCATGGCCGTGCTGGAGAGTCGCTCGTGGGGGGCAACTTGTGACCTCCATAGCGCATGAAGGACAAGCCGGGAACACCCCCCTTCCCATGAGGTTGCAGTTGTCCCGTCACCTCCGATTCATACCTGGCTTTCCAAAAAGCTCCGAGGCGGACACCATCTTGCTGCCCAGGGAGAAAAAGGAGGAAGGGAGTGACACCACTTCCCTCCCGGGGAGGCATGGTACCGTGGATTAACGCATAGTCCATTCATTTTTCTGCCGCAAGCTGCCGGGCTCTGCATTAAGTCCTTGTGCCTCTGGAGCCATGGCTGTGCCAGAGAGCCGCTCGTGGGGGGCAACTCGTGACCTAGGTAGGGCATGAAAGACGAGTCGACACCCACATCTTTGACCCAACAAATACATGTTATTAATTCCACATGAGGTAGAATATGGATTTATTTTTGTGAGGGGAAGGATCATATTTACTCTTGTGTATTCTCCTAATTTAGTGCTCAAGACGTCACAGATTCTTTAAGACATTAATTAATGGGTCAGAGAGATAGTGCAGCATGTAGGGCGCTTGACTTGCAAATGACTGGCCTTGATCTGACCCTGCACACTCCATCTGGTGCCCTGAGCCCACCAGGAATGATTCCTGAATACAGATCCAGAAATAAACTCCGAGCACAGCCAGGTGCAACCCCTGCCTACAAAATGTCCCAAATTAATGAATTATTTTTATTGTATATTTTACAAATATAAAATATACACTAAATAACGGGCTGGAGCGATAGAACAGCGGGTAGGGCGCTTGCCTTGCATGTGGCTGACCCGACCCACCTGGGTTCAATTCCTCCACCCCTCTCAGAGAGCCCAGCAAGTTACTGAGAGTATCTCGCCTGCACAGCAAAGCCTGGCAAGCTACCCGTGACGTATTCGATATGCCAAACACAGTAACAAGTCTCACAATGGAGACGTTACTGGGCCGGCTCGAGCAAATCGATGAACAACATGAGGACAGCGACAGTGTATATTTTGCAGATTCTTAACAGATAAGTAATAATTTAAAAAATGTCATAACAACTTTAAATAGAGATAAATATTCTACAAGATGAAGGGAGTGCAAAGCAAAAAAAAAAATAACAGTTTCTTTCTCTGTGTTTCCTTGTCCACCTTTGGTGGTCCTTAGGGCAAATCCCTGGTCTGAGCATGGAGGTCACTCCCAGTGGTGTTCAGAGGTCCATACAGTGCCAGGGACTGGATCTGGGCCTCCTGCATACCAAGCTTTCATTCAGCCTCTGAGCTAGCTCTCTAGTGAATGATAGTAGTTTCTGAAGAAAGGGATGGTACATGGAATCTGCTTGAAGAAGCCACAGGATGCAGTGAGACACACTAAATTAAGGCAAAAATTTTATACAATCAGAAGATAAGCTCAATCATGAATAACTGTAAACCGTTGTGCCTCAATACAAAATAAATATAAAAAATTATAAAAAAGTAAGTTGTGGGGTTGGAGCAATACTACAGCGAGTAGGGCGTTTGCCTTGCACATGGCCAACCCAGGTTCGATTCCCAGCATCCCCTATGCCCCCCTGAGCACTGACAGGAGTAATTCCTGAGTGCAGAGCCAGGAGTAACCCCTGAGCATCACTGGGTGTGACCCAGAAAGGAAAAAAAAAGTAAGTTGTGATATATCACCTTGATTTATAATAATGGAAAATGAATTAGCTAAAAGTATACATTTTGGTGATGTCATGAATAAAGCTGTAGAAAAGTGAGTCAAAACTATAGACCAAACATGATGACCACTTACTACATGTATTGCAAACCATAACACCCAAAAGGAGAGAGAGAGTAAAAGGAAATGTGCCTGCCAAAGAGGCGGGGGGAGGGGGCAAAGGAGAGGTGGTGGTGGGAGGGATACTGGGAACATTGATGGTGGAGAATGGGCACTGGTGGAGGGATGGGTACTCGATCATTGTATGACTGAAACGTAATCACGAAAATCTGTAGATCTGTAACTGTATCTCACAGTGATTCATTAAAAACTATTAAAAAAAAGAAAAAGTGAGTTAGGAAATAAAGATGCTAGTAGTTGAGTTGAGGTAGAGAAACAGAGACCAACTGCACATGTTCTAGGATGAAGAGGAAAAGCAGATTACGAGGATGGACTGGATGGAGACTCATAGTCTTTGCATTTGCTTCTTTTGCTTTTGCATCTGAACCTTCTCCCGCATTACATTCATAAACTGGAGTACAGGCATGGGATGGGGAGGGAAAAAGTTAGTGGCCATCGCCTCTCTCCATGATTTCTTTGCTATGATATCTGAGGTGACTCTAAAGAGTCTTGTGGGCATAGAAGCTGGGTCTTCCTCACTCTGTCTTCTCCAAAGGATTGGGCAATTTGGGGCCATCAAGTTTCCAAGACAGAAATAGCCAGGGATTCTAAGAAGTGTGTCTATTCATGGCTAATGGGACCTTGGAGAAGATATTCCCTAGTTGTCTATAGGGTCCCACAGCTCATAATATCGCACTTCTCTGACCTCTGTAACTGCAAGGGAAGCCTTCTGGGTTGCTGGTCTCAATGCACTCCACAAGTCTAATTGGCACCTTGAGTACTGGTGTCTGGAAGAGATGCAGGATGGGTCCCCTAGGTTGAAATCCCTAGTGCCTCAGTTTGCCTCAGCTGACATCATCATTCATCTGGGTTAGTGGCTGCTTCATATCCCACACATGCCCCACCTCTTCTCTCATGATTAGCCTGTATCACGTCAAACATGTGATTTCGGCTGAGGATGTAAACAAGAAGGGATTTACAGCCAGGAGTTCCTTACTACCAGAAAGGGACTGAGAACACCAGTACTCATAAAATTCTAGTTTTAATGAAGTAAATAGGAAAGTGGGGATTAAGCTAAGGAGAGGATGCCGTGAGTGTCCCTGAACTCTGCAAATCCACAACAGGTTTTCTTTGACTGCCCCTGTTGTGCAGTTTAGTCTTAGCTGGCATTTAGACTAAACTGGTATTTAGACTTAAACTGGCTTTCAATGTAGCCCTTAGTTCAGTGGAGACTCCCATCGCCTCAGCTTTGATGGGACGACAGGGATAGAGAGGGATAGAGGGATGCAGATACTCACTCAGAGGCAGGGGAAGGAAATGCAGAAATCCAAGTCCCTGCTTAGAAAGGTTAAAGGTCAGTTACTTAATCTGTCCTGATGGATGTCACTGGAGGTCACACACCAGAGCCCAGATTGTAAGAGCATCACACACTTTTGTGTGTTGCTTTGTTGATGCTGCTACTCTGGGGGACCAGAGTAAACAATACCTGTGTGGGTAGTGTCTTCTCTGCCAGTCTCCCAGGAAGTGGGGATTCTTTGGGTTGGAGAGGGGCATCTCACAGCATCTCAGAAAACGCTGCCTCAGGTGACCAGTAGCCAACATGTGAGTCATTGAACTCACTAATTGTGGCCCTATCTCGTCCCCTTTGCATTTTTATACTTGCTCTTCCCACAGTCTCTCCGGAAAGCCCAGCTAGGTAAGTTTGGCTTTTGAGTTTATCTAGGAGACCCCCATTAGGAACTAGGAATCATGTGGAATGATCAGCTCATTTTCTCATTCCTTAAGTGAGAGTGATATTGGACCAGTCTAGAAGGGAAATTTTCCAGAATACGGGGTGGGGAGGAAGCCACTGGAGGTGGGGGGTTCAAAGGCAGAATATGAAATTAAGAGGAAGTATGTCTTGGAAGAAGGAGAGGCATGAATCAAATGATGGGAAAATATTTGCTAAGGAGGGAAGAGAGAAGAAGAATAGATGAAAAGGAAAAATATGGTTCTTTAGCAAAAGGGAGATGGGTGGGTTTCTTGATAGAATGGAGGAGATGTGTGTGAGCATGTGGAAATGGAGCCACTAGTTCAGTAGAAGTCAAGTAAGAAGAATTAGTGCAAACAGACTGCCAATAAAATGAAATTATAGGCTATATTTTCAGGTAGAGAGATATAACAAATATGCCCTTTTATGTCCACACTGTACAATACTTGAAGAATGAATTGAGTCTTAATTCTTCACTTGAAAAGCAAACTCTAATCGAGACCCCTACAGATTAATAAACATTAGGAAGAAAATCATGAAAGAGACAGATCTGAGATTTTGGTGATCCATTTAGGTCATTTTTTTTCAGGTGGGCTTCATAATGTATATCAGGGTCTTATTAAGATCTTATTCTTGTGAGAATTGGATAGCAGTTTACTCCAGAAATCTGGCTAGGTAATTGTTACAATCCTGGTTTTTATCAGTGTGATATATGGTTTGAAAACTCTCAGGTCTGTCTATGCAGTACACATCCTCGTTTGTTTTTTGGGTGAGGTAGCGATGTGTCACATTTCTCCTTGCCTCCAAATAAAGACAATGCTGAGTTATTCTCCCCTGACACAGTCTTCTAACTTGACACAGTCTTCTCCCATGCAATGAAACGTGTCAGCCTTTTAATAAGTTCCCGGGACTTTTTATTTTTTAAATTTTTTTATTTTTTGCTTTTTTGGGTCACACCCAGCGATGCACAAGGGTTACTCCTGGCTCTGCACTCAGGAATTACCGCTGGCGGTGCTCAGGGGACCATATGGGATGCTGGGAATCGAACCCTGGTTGGCTGCGTGCAAGGCAAACACCCTACCCGCTGTGCTATTGCTCCAGCCCCCAGGACTTTTTTGTTTACATGTGTATGGCAATTATCTTAGAATTTAGTGATAGTATATAAAAAGGGACCTTAGACTCCAGAGAATGAGCATCACCCCAAAGGAGAACAAGAATTTCTGTTCTCTTCTGGGAAAAGGTTTAGCACATTTGTGGTTTTGATGGGATGGTTTACTGAGTTAAGCAGAATGACAACTTTATAGTGGATAGCTTGAGATGAAGCATGACGTAAGAAGATTTGTGTGTGTGTGTGTGTGTATGTGTGTGTGTGTGATAAACACGGACAGACTTTGGTGACTGAGGAATGTGTCGCAGTGAACAGGATGAGCCAGGACCTTTCGAGTGTCTGTGTTAGATGCTTCTGGTTCATAAGGGTCACAGGGCAGACTCAGGGTCACAGAGAGTAGAGTGCACAACAGTGCCAGTTTGCATCTCCCCGGTTGTTGCTGATCTGCTATTGCCCTTCCCAGCCGCCCCATAATGTAGCAGCCCCCATTCCCCTGACCTTCAGCTCCTGTGCATTTTCAGTCAGATGTGTGTGTTTAGCTCCTTTAAGAAAGACCTAGATTCCCAGTTACCGCCAGCCCCTGCCAGTTCCAGAGGCATGAAGAGCTGAAGTGCATTCTGGTCTTCCCTGGTGGTCATCCAGCTCAGGCAGTGGGGTCCAGTCTGTCTTCTAGACTTCACAGTCATCATCTGTTCCTCACTCTGCCTGCCCTGGGACTACAAGTTCTGGCACTGCAAAAAAAAAAAAATTGAAAGGTGACCAATTTTCATAACTTGTTCATTAGACTTTGTAATGGCTAATGCCCAAGTTCTGAAACATCAAATATATATGTGTATACAAATCTTAGTGGTTTGTGTTTTGATTAAACCTTCTTTGGGATAAGGAACCCAAAAATTATGCCTGTATACATACTTATTTATGGATATACAAAACATTTATGTCCAGTGTAAACAGAAGAGCATATGTTCATGTATCTTATGTAGTATTTCTGGGAACACTGATACATATATGTATACATTTTTTTCTCTTTGATAAGAAGACTGTCTTTTTTTTTTAAGTTAGATATTCCAGAAATTCATGGATCTAAATATCCTGACTTGAAGAGTTAGCATTATGATGAAGGGAGGTTTAAGTTCTCTCTTAGAAATATATTATTTGAGTAATACAGTTGCTAAATAATTATAAAAATAATTTATACATTTTTTTTTCTGTAAGCCACAGCCAGCAGTGCTCAGGGCTTACTCTTGCTCTGCTTTCAGGTTTCATTCCTGGTGGAACTTGGAGAACATAGGGGAAAGCCCTACTCACTGTACTATGGCTCAAACCCAACATTTTATTCTTAAAAGTCCAAGAAGTTTCTTGTCAGATTTCTCATATTCATCCATGCTCACTTCCTGTGTCCGCAGAACTGTGAAGGGCGATGAGGCAGAACAATCAGTCCTTACTGGCCGACTTCATCCTCGAAGGGCTCTTCGATGACTCTCTCACCCATGGCTTTCTTTTCTCCCTGACCATGGTGGTCTACCTTGTTGCTGTGAGTGGCAACTCCCTGACCATCCTCCTCATCTGTGCTGACCCCCGGCTGCACACTCCCATGTACTTCCTGCTCAGCCAGCTCTCCCTCATGGACCTCATGCACGTCACCACCACCATCCCCAAGATGGCTACCAACTACCTGTCAGGCAGGAAGTCCATCACCTTTGTGGGCTGTGCTACCCAGCACTTCCTCTACTTGTCAGTGGGAGGGGCCGAGTGTATTCTCCTGACTCTCATGTCTTATGACCGTTATGTTGCCATCTGTCACCCACTGCATTATGCTGTTATCATGAGCAGGAAGGTGGCTCTGATGATGGCTGTCACGTCATGGTTGATATCAGCCACAAATTCCCTCATTCACACCATGATTTTGATGCACTTCCCTTTCTGTGGGTCTCGAACAATCCACCACTTCTATTGTGAGTTTCCTGCTGTTCTGCAATTGGTCTGTGGAGACATCACTGTTTATGAGAAGACTGCTTACATCAGCACAGTTCTGCTCCTCCTCTTCCCCATCCTCTTGGTTTCTACCTCCTATGGCTTCATCCTCCACAGTGTCATTCAGATGCAATCTGCTGGGAGTAAGAGAAATGCTTTTGCCACTTGTAGCTCTCATCTGACTGTGGTTTCTCTCTGGTTTGGTGCCTGCATCTTCTCATATATGAGACCCAGGTCCCAGCGGACTCCATTGCAAGACAAAGTTGGTTCTGTGTTCAATAGCATTATCACTCCCACTCTGAATCCTCTGATTTATACCCTCCGCAATAAGGATGTAGCCAAGGCTCTAAGAAAAGTGTTGGGGAGAGATGCTATTGCACTGTAGTTGTCACAAATATAAGAGCAAAATGGGTTAAACTCATTCAATTGATTTGGGTAAACTTGGAAGAAATTTTAGGGGTTCACGGTCCTGATGCTAGTTGATTGAAACAAAATAGTTAACACATAATTACGGGTCTCTCACCTGCTGCCAGGTATCTAATACATAGATTTCCATCTTAGTCCATATGCATTACAGAATAAAATACCAGACTTTGAATTTCTCACAGATCTAGGATTGAGATTCGACAGTGAAGGCTCTGGAATACCACCGTCTTAGTAAAGAAGACTTTCTGACTCATAGATCACTATTCCCTCCCTTGGATCTCTTAAAAAGCATTATGTCATCCTTGACCTCATTACTTCCTAAACTTCAAATTTATTCGAATACCACTTCATCAAGGATAAGTTCTCAACCTTGGGTTCTTTCGGAAACAATATATAGCAGGTATGTTTCAATAAGTTTCAGAAGATTCAAATCTATATGATAAAATAAAAAAACCTTTATTTATTGTCTTTTGGGGACACACCTGGAGATGCTCAGCAGCTTCTTCTGGCTCTGCACTCAGAAATTACTCCTGGCAGTGTTTGGGGACTATATGGGATGCCGGGAATTGAACCCGAGTCAGCTGCATGCAGCCCACCCACTGTACTATCATTCTGACCCCTCACAATATATTTGAAAGAAGACATATGAAGGCTGTGATATTCTGTAAAAAGAAAAGAATATAAATTATAATAATGCTCTTCATTTTGCACTTTATTAATATGTTACAGCAGAAATGAGGAGGGAGGGACTTGCATGTGGAATGGAGGGCAGTTCCACACTGTTTATGAATTGTCTTTCTACCTTAATAAGGGCATACACAATAGGATTGATCCTCCTACAAACCTTATTTGATTAAGAGCCTGAGTAATTATCTTACAAATCCTTGTCAGGGCATATGTGATCTGATTGGTCATCCCACCACATTCTCATTTGCATATGGGAGCCTATGTCAGGTGACCAGCTAGGGCTTAAGCGATCAGATAGCAGAAACACCAAAGAGAAGAGAATACTTAATAGATACAAAGCCAGGTGCAGAAAGTGTGGAAATGAAGAAACAAGGCAAAGGGGTAGGGGGATAAAAAGGAAAAGAGCAGAGTGACATAGACGGGAGGAAGAAAGATTTTGAGTAGCTGGTCGGCATCTGCTGTAATGAAACTAGATAAAACAACCACCAGAGAATATTTATGGAGTGTTAAGGTGATCTGTGCTGGTTTTGTCAGATCTTTCTCCACTGTTATTATGGATGTTTTTGATATTTTATGTTTATATTTCCTATCTTATCTCTAAATTCAGATTTAACATATTCAATTTTAAATTCTTTCCTCTTGACAAATGTTTCCCTCTTGTTCTAATTCTATTTGCTTTTTAATTTGCCTTAATTAAATTCACTCTACTATCATGGTCTAGTGAAATGATAACTTCTTCAATCCATACTATACGTTAAAATGTAGAGCAAATTCTCAATGACTTTAATAATACCATTGTGCGATATAACAATTTTCACATTTTAAAAATGGAATTATTTTTTCTTTTGTTTGGAGGCCACACACAGGAGTGTGAGGGGTTACTCCAGGTGGTACTAGGGGAACCGATGGGGTACTGAGAATCGAACCTGGGTGGGCCACATGCAAGGCAAATACCCTACCAGCTGTGCTATTGATCCAACCCCCGACTGAACTATTATTTTTATAATTCCATTTACCATTTTGTTGTAACAAGCAATATAAAATAAATTATTTTGCACCTGTTTGAAACAGCAGCAACAACACAAACGGAGGGCTTTCCTCGCTAACTAGAACAAGTTCAGGATATCCACTCTGGTTACTTGCTTTCAATGTAGTCTTGGAAGCCCTTGCCAGAGCAATCATGGAAGAAAAGGAAAAAAAATCCAAAACATTAAGGAAAATCATGATTGGTGGGTGATATAGAGCATGCCAGTAAGAAAAATTAGAAATAAGAAGTAAATAAGTGGCGCACTAAAGGTCAGTATCAAAGTTGTTATGTTCTTACATGTAGGTAATAAAGTAGAAGAAAGGGAATTAGTAATATAATACTACTTACACCCAAAGAGAATTAAATAGCTAGAACTAAACTTAGGGATAGTGGAAAATGACCTCAACATCGAGAGCACTAAGATGTCGCTAAAAGAAATAGAACACACCAAGAAACAGAACCATATCCCAGCACCTCACCCTCCCCAGAGTGTCTTCCTCCCTTCATCCTGTCCCAGGAGGCCCCATACTGTCCCTCCATCCCCAGTGGCAGGTTCCTACTGAAGACTAGGCCTGGGTTTCTATTGCCTTTGGCATCATCTGTTCTGGGCCATGGCACCTGGGGAAACGAGAGTCTTGTGGGCACAGAGGCTGGGTCTTCCTCACACTATCTTCTCTAAAGGATTGGGCAATTTGGGGCTATCAAGTTCCCAAGACAAAAACAAAGCCAGCATTCTAAGAAGTGTGTGTATTCATGGCTAATGGGCCCTTGGAGAAGATATTCCCTTGTCCTCAGGTTCACACAACTCATAATATCGCACTCCCCTGGCCCTGCAAGGGAAGTAACTGCAAGGGAAGTCTTTTGGGGTTGCTGGTCTCAGTGGCACCATGAGTCCTGGTATCTGGAATAGATGCAGGATGGGTCCCCTGGGTTGAAATCTCTAGTGCCTCAGGTTTGCCTCAGATGACATCATCGTTCCCCTGGGTTAGTGGCTGTTTCATATCCCACACAGGCCCCTCCTCTTCTCTCACAATTAGCTCGTGTCATGCCAAAAGTGTGATTTCTGCTGAGGACACATCCTTGCAACCAGGAAGTGACCGAGATCACTAATATTCATCAAATTCTAGTTTCAGTCAATCGTGATGGAGTGATAAATCGAAGGAGAGGATGCCGTGAGTGATCCCAACTCAGCCAATCCACAACAGGTTTTCTTTTTTGATTTTGGCCATACTTGTCGATGCTCAGGATTTACTTCTGGTTCTGTGCTCAGGGATCACTCCTGGCAGGGTTCAGGAGACCATATGGGTGCTGGAAATTGAAGTCAAGTTGGTTGTGTGCAAGGCAAATGCCCTATTCGCTGTACTATAGCCTTGGCCCCCATCTTTGACTACTCCTTTTGGTGACTAAACTGGCTTTCAGTGTAGTCCTTAAGTTTATAGAGACCCTCATTGTCCTATCTCTGATGGGGATAGAGAGGGATGCAGATACCCATTTTGGAAGCAGAGGAAGGATATACAGGACTCCTAGTCCCTACTTAGAAAGGTTAAAGATCAAGTTGCTTAATCTGTCCTGCTAGGTGTTGCTGGAGGTCAAACACCATGTGTTTAGATTAAACATGACTTACGGGGATGTGTGTGTGTGTGTGTGTGTGTGTGTGTGTGTGTGTGTCTGTGTGTGTATGTGTGTGTGTGTGTTTAATAAACATGGACAGATTCTGGTGACTGAGCAATGTGTCGCAGTGACCAGAATGAACTAGGACTTTTCCAGTGTTCGTGTTAGAATTTTCTATTCCAGGGGGCTTGAACGAGAGCACAGCAGGAAGGGCATTTGCTTTGCATGCGGTCGACCTGGGTTCGAGTCCCAGCATCCCATATGGTCCCCTGAGCACTGCTAGGAGTAATTCCTGAGTGCATGAGCCAGGAGTAACCCCAGTGCATCACCGGTGTGACCCAGAAAGGAAAAAAAATGTTTTTTCTGGTCCATGTGGGTCACAGGGCTGACTCAGGGTTTCAGAGTGCAGAGCGCACAGCAGTGTCAGTCTGCATCTCCTATGTTTTTGCTGATCTCTTGTTGACTCTCCAGCTGCCCTATGATGTAGCAGCCCCCACCCCCTGACCTTCAGCTCCTGTGCATTTCCTGTCAGTGTATTTGGCTTCTTTAAGAAAGACCCAGATTTTCAGTCACCCCCCCCGCCCCCCCAGTCCCTGCCGGTTCCAGAGGCATGAATAGCTGAAGTGTGTTTCGGTCTTCCCTGGTGGGCATCCAGCTCAGCAGTGGGGTCTGTTTCCTCCTAGACTCCACAGCCATCATCTGTTCCTGACTCTGTGCCTTCCCTAGGACTAAAAGTTCTGGCATCAAATAAAACAGGGGTTTATTTCTGGCACCACAAAAACCAAAGATTGAAAGATTTCAGATTTCCATAGATTCCTCACTGGTTTCAGAATTGTTAATGCCAGGTTTCTGTAATGTTCCATCAAGTGTACATATATGCTTAATCTTTTTTTAAATTTTATTGAATAACTGTGAGAAAATTACAAGCTTTCATGTTTGGGTTACAATCACACAATGATCAAACACCTATCCCTCCACCAGTGCACATTCCCCAACACCAATCTCTCCAGTATAACCTCCTTCCCCACACTCCCCCTATCTCCATGGCAGAAAATACTCTCCATACTCTCTCTCTACTTTTGGGCATTATGGTTTGCAATACAGACACTGAAAGGTCATCATGTTTGGTCCATTATCTACTTTCGGCACATATCTCCCATCTCGACTGATTCCTCCAGCCATCATTTTATTAGTGATCCCTTCTCTATTTCACTTGCCTTCTCCCCTCTGCTCATGAGAAAGGGTTCTAGCTATGGGGCAATCCTCCTGGTCCTTGTATTTATAGTTCTATACTCCCAGCCTTATGTTATGTTATTCTATACTTCACAGATGAGTTCAGTCCTTCTATGTCTGTCCCTCTCTTTCTGACTCATTTCACTTAGCGTGATACTCTCCATGTCTATCCATTTATAAGCAAATTTCATGACTTCATCTCTCCTAATGCTGCATAGTATCCCATTGTGTAGATATACCAAAGTTTCTTTAACCAGTCATCTGTTCTAGGGCACTTGGGTTGTTTCTAATTTTGGCAATTGTAAACAGTGCTGCTATGAACATATAGGAACAGATGTCATTTCTACTGTGCTTTTTTGCATCCTCAGGATATATTCCAGAAGTAGTATTGTGGGGTCATATGGAAGCTCAATTTCTAGTTTTTGAAGGACTATCCATATTGTTTTCCAGAAAGGCTGGACTAGTGGGCATTCCCACCAACAGTGAAAAAGTGTCCCTTTTCCCCACATCCACACCAGCACTGGTTGCTTTTGTCCTTTTGAATGTGTGCCACTCTCTGTGGTGTGAGATATCTCATTGTTGTTTTGATTTGCAACTCCCTGATGGCTAGCAATGTGGAGCATTTTTCTCATGTGCCTTTTGGCCATTTGTATTTCTTTTTTGAGGAAACTTCTGTTCATTTCTTCTCCCCATTTTTTGATGGGGTTGGAGGTTTTTTCTTGTATAATTCTGCTAGTATCTTGTATATCATGTATACCCTGGATATTAATCCCTTATCAGATGGGTATTGGGTAAATATTCTTTCCCATTCTTTGGGCTCTTTCTGTATTTTGGTCACTGTTTCTTTGGAAGTGCAGAAGCGTCTTAGTTTAATGTAGTCCTATTTGTTTATGTTTGCTTCCACTTGCATGGTCAGTGCTGTTTCATCCTTAAAGATGCTTTTAGCTTCAATGTCATGGAGAGTTCTGCCTATGTTTTCCTCTATGTACCTTATGGACTCATGTCTGATATTGAGGTCCTTAATCCACTTTGATTTGACTTTTGTGCCTGGCATTAGACAGAGGTCAAAGTTCATTTTTTTGCAGGTAGCTATCCAGTTTTCCCACATGTGTGCTTAATGTTATTTTTTTTTATTAAACCCTTCATATATAAGAAACCCAAATAGAATTTCAACAAACATACTTATATATGGGTATACAACAGTTTGTAGGCACAGTCGTACATAGATGAGCATAGGTTCATGTATCTTATGTAGTATTCTGTGAACACATGTAATATATGTGTATACATTTATTTTTCTCTTTGATAAGAAAATTGTCTTTTTTTCTGGGTCACACCCAACGATGCACAGGGGTTATTTCTGGCTCTGCACTCAGGAATTACCCCTGGCTGTGCTCAGGGGACCATGTGGGATGCTGGGAATCAAACCCAGTTGGCCACATGCAAGGTAAACGCCCCACCCGCTATGCTATTGCTCCAGCCCTGAAAACGACCTACCTGCTGTGGTATTGCTCCAGCCCCGAAAACTGTCTTTATTAAAAGTCAGATATTTCAAATGCTTCATGGAGCTGCTGACAGGAAGATTTAGCATTATGATGAAGGAATGTTTAAGTTCTCTCTTAGAAATATATTATTTGAGTAATATAGTTGTTAAATAGTTAGAAAAATAATTTTTTTTTGCTTTTTGGGTGACTCCCGGAGATGCACAGGGGTTATTCCTGGCTCTTCACTCAGGAATTACTCCTGGTGATGCTTGAGGGACCGTATGGGATGCTGGGAATTGAACCCGGGTCGGACACATGCAAGGTAAATGCCCAACCTGCTGTGCTTTCGCTCCAGCCCCAGAAAAATAACTTTTACAAAAAAATTTTAAAGGAACACTGAGCAGTTCTCAGGGCTTACTCTTGCTGTTTTCAGGTTTCAAACCTGGTGGGACTTGGAGAACATAGAGGAATGCCCTACCCACTGTACTATGCTCAAACCCAACATTTTTATTCTTAAAAGTCCAAGAAGCTTCTTGTCAGATTTCTCATATTCATTCATGCTCACTTTCTGTGTCCGCAGGACTGAGAAGGGCGATGAGGCAGAACAATCAGTCCTCACTGGCCGACTTCATTCTTGAAGGGCTCTTCGATGACTCCCTCACCCATGTCTTTCTTTTCTCCTTGACCATGGTGGTCTACCTTGTTGCTGCGAGTGGCAACTCCCTGACCATCCTCCTCATCTGTGCTGACCCCCGGCTGCACACCCCCATGTACTTCCTGCTCAGCCAGCTCTCCCTCATGGACCTCATGCACGTCACCACCACCATCCCCAAGATGGCTACCAACTACCTGTCGGGCAGGAAGTCCATCACCTTTGTGGGCTGTGCTACCCAGCACTTCCTCTACTTGTCAGTGGGAGGGGCTGAATGTGTTCTCCTGACTCTCATGTCTTATGACCGTTATGTTGCCATCTGTCACCCACTGCATTATGCTGTTATCATGAGCAGGAGGGTGGCTTTGATGATGGCTGTCATGTCATGGCTGGGAGCATCCATGAACTCCTTCATTCACACCATGATCTTGATGCACTTCCCTTTCTGTGGGTCTCGAACAATCCACCACTTCTATTGTGAGTTTCCTGCTGTTGTGCAGTTGGTCTGTGGAGACATCACTGTTTATGAAAAGACTGTTTATATCAGTGGCATCCTGCTCCTCCTCTTCCCCATCCTCTTGGTCTCTACCTCCTATGGCTTCATCCTCCACAGCATCATTCAGATGCGATCTGCTGGGAGTAAGAGAAATGCCTTTGCCACTTGTAGCTCTCATCTGACTGTGGTTTCTCTCTGGTTTGGAGCCTGCATCTTCTCATATATGAGACCCAGGTCCCAGCGCACTCCATTGCAAGACAAAGTTGGTTCTGTGTTCTATAGCATCATCACCCCGACCCTGAATCCTTTGATTTATACTCTCCGCAATAAGGATGTCGCCAAGGCTCTAAGAAAAGTGTTGGGGAGAGATGCTGTTATTGCACTGTAGTTGCAACGAGCATAAGAGCAAAGTGAGTTAAAATCATTCAATTGATTTGGGTAAACTTGGAAGAAATTTTAAGGATTCAGATGCTATTTGATTGCAGCAAAGTAATTACACACAATTACATGTCTCTCACCTGCTACCAGGTATCTAATACATATATTGCCATCTTAGGCCATATGAATTATAGAACAAAATGCCAGACTTTGAATTTTCACAGATCTAGGATTGAGATTCAACAGTGAAGTCTCTAGAATACCACTGTCTTAGTAAAGAACATTTTCTGGCTCATAGATTACTATTCCCTCCTTTGGGTCTCTTAAAATGCATTATGTCATTCTTGACCTCATTACTTCCTAAGCTTCAAATACCTTCAAATACCACTACATCAAGATAAGTTCTCATCTTTGGGTTCTTTTTGGAAACAGTATGTAGTAGGTATGTCTCAATAGTCTCAGAAGATTCAAATATACTTGATAAAAATTAGAAAAAACCTATGTATATTGTCTTTTTTGGATACACCTGGAGGTACTCAGCAGTTTCTCCTGGCTCTGCACTCAGGAATTACTCCTGGCAGTGTTTGGGGGACCATACGTGATGCCAGGAATTGAACCCGGGTCTGCTGCATACAACTCCACCTGCTGTACTATCATACTGACCCCTCAAAATATATTTGAAAGGAAACATATGAAGGCAGTGATATTCTGTAAAAAGAAATGAAGATAAATTATAATAATGCTCTTCATTATTAACATGTTACAAAAGAAATGAGGAGGGAGGGAGATGCATGTGGAGTGGAGGGTGGTTCCACACTGTTGATGAATTGTCTTCCTACCTTATCAAGGGCATACACAATGTGATCGATCACCCTTTCAAGACTTATTTGAATAAGAGCCTACGTAATTATCTTACAAATCCTTGTCAGGGCCTATGTGATCTGATTGGTTATCCCACCACACTCTCATTTACATATGTGAGCCTATGTCAGATGACCACATAGGGCTTAACCAATCAGATAGCAGAAATACTAAACAAAGATACTTAATAGATACAAACCCAGGTGTAGAAAGCGTGGAAAAGAAGAAGGCAAAGGGTGGCGGATGAAAAGGAAAAGAGCAGAGTGACATGGATGGGAGGAAGAGAGATTTTGAACAACTGGTCAGTATCTTCTGTAACAGAACTAGGTAAAACAGGCCACCAGAGAATATTTATGGAGTGTTAAGGTGGTCTTTGCTGGTTTTGTCAGAAAGTTCTCCACATTTATTTATTTATTTTTTATATTTTATGTTTGTATTTCCTATCTATTTTTTCTCTAAATTCAAAATTAACGTATTCAATTTTCAATTTTTTTCCTCTTGACAATTGTTTCCTTTTTGTTCTAGAGGAACACAGACAATAAATGATGGCCACTAAATGCTTTGAAAGCTTGGATAGATGAATATATGTCTAGAACCTAGACTTCTTGATTAAAATGTATAAGAATTCACGTGAAGGAAATAATATATTATATATGTACAGAATAATATTATATAATTCTGATTATACAATTATTATAATATAAATATGTAGTGAATCTTTACTCTCAACCTGTGGTTAAATGAGGTGTTTGGGATTTGTCAATCATCTCTGTCTAAAGCACCATCATCTCTACTTCTATGAAACTTCATATTCTTTGTATACTTGTGCGTCTTCTCACTCTGTTCTCACTTCTGTTGGCTTTTTATCATCACTACTTTGAAACCACTAATGTGAAAGTTATTAATGGCTTCTGTATTGCTGTCCCTAAAGTTCATTGAATTCACCCAACCTTTGTTTTGCCAGGTTTGGTTTTTCTTTTTTCAGCTTTTGGGCTGTGTTCAGTGATAACTCCTGGGGGATCACTCCTGGTAGGGCTTAGGGGATCATATGTGGTGCTGGAGGTCGAAGCTGGATTGGCCACATGCAAGTCAAATAAGTATCTTATTTTGCTTTTTGAAGTACTTTCTTCACTAAGATTTCTCGACATCGTCATCATCTTTTATTTTTTCCCCATTAGCTTATCATCTTAATTTAAACTTCTCCTTCTCCTTCTCCTTCTCCTTCTCTTTCTCCTCCTCCTCCTCCTCTTCTTCTTGCTACCCTCAGTGGTGCTCACGGATTACTTCAGGCAGTGCTTCGGGGACCATGTATGGTGCCTGGGCTCACACCCAGTGAAGTGCATGCTAGTCAAGTCAGCACCCTATCTACTGTATCATCACTCCAGTCCCTCATCTTACTTATACTTTATTTAGTTTTTTTCAAACACTTCTCCACATTTATTCATGAATGTTTTTGATATTTTATGTTTATATTCCCTATCTTATCTGTTGTGTGAATATTTTTTCAGTCAGGGCTTTGATGGTTCCCCATGTTGGATTCACTTATCTTTTATCCAAATTCAAAATTAACATATTAAATTTTCAACTCTTTTCCTCTTGACAAAGGTTTCCCTCTTGTTCTAATTCCACTTGCTTTTAAATTGGCCTTAATGAAATCCAATTCCACTCTACTTGTCATGGTCTAGTGAAATGATATATCTTCAGTCCATGTTGTACATTAAAATGAACAGCAAATTCTCAATGCCTTTAATAATACTATTGTGCGATATAACAATTTTCACAATTTTTTTACAGAGCTATTTTTTCTTTGGTTTGGAGGCCACACTCAGCAGTGTGAGGGGTTAATCCTGGTGGTGCTTGGGGACCACATGGAGTGCTGAGTATCAAACTTCAGTGGGCCATGAGCAAGGCAAATTCCCTACTCCCTGTGTTATCGCTCTAGCCCCTGAAAATATTTTTTATAATTCCATTGACCATCTTGTTGTAACAAGCAATATAAAATAAATTATTTTGCACCTGTTTAAAACAGAAACAATAGGGCGGGAGAGATAGCACAGCCATTAGGGGGTTTGCCTTGCACACGGCCGACCCAGGTTCGATTCCCAGCATCCCATATGGTCCCCCAAGCACTGCCAGGAGTAACTCCTGAGTGCAGAGCCAGGAGTAATCCCTGTGCTCTAATCACCTAATCACTGGGTGTGACCCAAAAAAGCAAACAAAACAAAACAAAACAAAACAAAACAAAAAGACCCAGAAACAACAACACAAACGAAGGGTTTTCTCCTCTAACTGGAACAAGTTCAGGATATCCACTCTGGTTACTTGCTTTCAATGTAGTCTTGGAAGCCCTTGCCGGGCAATTATGGAAGAAAAGGAAAAAAATCCAAAACATTAAAGAAAATCATGATTGTTAGGTGATATAGAACATGCCAGTGAGAAAAATTAGAAATAAGAACTAAATACACTAAGTGGCAAACTAAAGGTCAGTATCAAAGTCTGTTATGTTCTTACATGTAGGTAATAAACTAGAAGAAAGGGAATTAGTAAAATAATATCATTTAACAACCAAAGAGAATTAAATAGCTAGAACTAAACTTAGGGATAGTGGAAAATGACCTCAACATCGAGAGCACTAAGATGTCACTAAAAGAAAAAGAACACACCAAGAAACAGAACCATATCCCAGCATCTCACCCTCCCCAGAGTGTCTGCCTCCTTTCATCCTGTCCCAGGAGGCCCCATACTGTCCCTCCGTCCCCAGTGGCAGGGTCCTACTGAAGAGTAGGCCTGGGTTTCTATTGCCTTTGGCATCATCTGTTCTGGGCCATGGCACTTGGGGAAATGAGAGTCTTGTGGGCACAGAGGCTGGGTCTTCCTCACACTATCTTCTCTAAAGAATTGGGCAATTTGAGGCTATCATGTTCCCAAGACAAAAACAAAGCCAGCATTCTAAGAAGTATTCATAGCCATGTATTCATGGCTAATGGGCCCTTGGAGAAGATATTTCCTTGTCCTCATGTTCACACAACTCATAATATCGCACTCCCCTGACCCTGTAACTGCAAGGGAAGTCTTTTGGGGTTGCTGGTCTCAGTGGCACCATGAGTTCTGGTATCTGGAATAGATGCAGGATGGGTCCCCTGGGTTGAAATCTATAGTGCCTCAGTTTGCCTCAGATGACATCATTGTTACCCTGGGTTAGCATCTTTTTCATATCCTACGCATGCCCCTCCTCTTCTCTCACAATTATCTTGTGTCATGCCAAAAGTATGATTTCTGCTAAGGACACATCCTTGCAACCAGGAAGGGACCGAGATCACCAACCTTCATCAATCGGGATGGAGAGATAAATCTAAGAGGGGAATGTCATGAGTGATCCCAAATCAGAAAATCTTTTGACTTGCACTCATTGATGATTAAGCTGGTATTAAACACACCCCCTCCCAGGCAACATACATCAATACTCTCACGGCCAATCTCTTACGGTCCTGTCGGGAGGGGAGGGGATTCAGACAAAGTATTTCAGAGCAGAGCAAGTCTGGTTAAGATTCCAAGTCCCTACTCATACAGGTTAAAGAGATAAGGTAAGGTAAAGGTAAAGGCCCTCCCGTTGATCGTCGATTTGCTCGAGCGGGCCCAGTAACGTCTCCATTGGAGACTTTGTTGTTACTGTGTCTGGCATATCGAATACTCTCGGTAGCTTGCCGGGCTCTCCGAGAGGGGCGGAGGAATCGAACTCGGGTCGGCCATGTTGGCCGCTTGTAAGGCGAACGCCATACCCACTGTGCTATCGCTCCAGCCCAAAGAGATAGGTTAGTTAATCTGCTCAGTTGAGTTCATCTGAGTCCAGATTGTTAGAGCATCACGAGTTTTGTTTATTTATTTCTCTTGGTGGTTCTCTGGTCACATAAAAATTAGTGTAAATAAAGCATGTACGGACAATTCTTTTGTTGTCATTGATCCAGGAATTGGAGATTTCTTTTTAAAAAGAATTTCTTACTACTCTTATTACTTTTATTTTTGGGTCACACCTGGCAGAGCTCAGGACTTACTCCAGGCTCTGCACTCAGGATCACTCCTAGAGGGCTTAGATGGGATGTCGGGGACCAATCCTGGTTTGTCTGTGTGCAAGCAAACACCCTACCACTATACTATATTTCCAGACACTCTGTCAATAGTTAGAGATTTTAGGGTTGGAGAAGGACGTCTCATGAGCTTTTCAGAAAAGACTTCTTTGGGTGACCAGTAGCAAATGTATGAATCATTGAACTCAGCAAGTGTGGCTCTATTTCACCCCCATTGCATTTATACTTGTTCAGCGCAGTGTCTACAGAAAGTCTAGGCAAGTTAAGTTTGGCTTGTGAGTTGACAGTTCCCATTAGGAATCAGGGCATCATGTTGAATGA